AATTATATAAGAAAAGTTTTTTTATTTAGCGAGCTTATCTGCTATTTAATATCGATTATCTTATAAAGTACTTTAAATTATTATAATTAATAAGAATTTTAATAAAATAGAAATTTCTTCTTAGATAATAGCGTTAATACTTAAATATTATAATAATTATAAGAAGTTCTTAATTATATATTTTATAATTATATTTTATATTAATTATTTTTCTTAAATAAAAAGTAATTAAGTATTATTATCTATTTGTATATAGCTAGATTAATATACTTACTATAGCGAATAATAAGACGTTAATTTCGATTTAAATTAAAAGCTAAGAGTTAAAATACTTAAAAAGAGGCGTAATTATAAAGGCGCCCTTTAGCTTTTTAAACGTATATTTTACGATACTAAGCTATAGAATTAATTTTAATTTAATATCTTTTTCGCTCCCCTTAAGAAGTTCTATTAAAGAATCTATAATTTAAGAATAATAATAAATAAATCTTCGATAGAAATTTATAAATTCTAAAAAAGACTTATATGTTATAATAGTCTTTTAGTTTTAATTACTTTTAAATTATAATTATTCTATATTTATTTATAGTAATACTAATAATAAATACTATAAAGTCGAGAAATTTCACTTCTATAACGAAAAATTTATATTTCTTTAAATTTATATAAAGACTATATCGTCTAAATTAATTAAATACTTACTTTATATAATCTAAGTACTTTTTCTTTATTTTAAAATAGATAAGAATATTATTTAAATATATTATATAAAATTAATTAACTAGTTTAATTAAAATTCTATTAATATAGATTTAAAAGATTATTAAGACGTTAATTAAGTCGAATAATATTATTAAATATTTAAAATACTTATAATATATACGAAACGCTATTTTTCACTTATCGCCTTTACGAATTTATATACGATAATAAGTATTCTTTAAATTAAATTTAATATATTACTTAAAACTATTTAAACGATTAAGCGTCTCGCTATATAAGAATAAGAGATATTAAATTTTAATAATTATCTTATTTAATTTACGATAGTTAATATATAAAATATAAATCTTTATTCTTTTTTAGAATAAATAGAATTAAAGCTTCTATTAAACTCGTAAAATATCTTATTTAATCCTTCGCTAAGGCTTTATTAAAATGAATTCTTAGCGTCGCTAATTTAATATTAGATAAATTATATAGTAAATTAAATAATAGTTTTATTATAATTTCGATAGTATAATTATAATCTTTATATAATAGTAATTAACTTACTTTTTTCGATAAAAATATATCTTTATATTCTTTTAACTTATTAGAAAATTTAGAGATAACCTCTACGCTATTTATCTAAATATTCTATATTTTAATTATATTAGTTTTATATTCTCTATTTATAATTATTATTTCGACTATAACTAATATATAAATAGTCTTATATCTTTTTAAGATATCCGCGAATTATTATAGCGTTAGAATCTTAAGCGATTACTTTTTAACGCTAAAACGCTATATTCGATCTTCTATATCTATTTTAATTCGCTTATTAATTAAAATCGAAAGATTTAAAATTATTAAGAAACCTTTCTTATTAATAGCGTAGAAAATATATTTATAGCGCTTAATATACTTTTAACTATTTTATAGATAAAAAGTTATCGAGTAGATATTATAGTAATAAATTGATTTTTCATCTATCTATATAGATTTTAATTAAAGATTATTAATCTTAATTAGATTCTACTTAATTATAAAATACTAGCTTATTATATTTACCTTAATATTATTATTAAAATAAATTTTAACGGGAATATATAATTTATCTTAATTATTTAGAAGTACTCTATCTTTATAGATTAATAATAGAATAAATACTACTTCTATTTTTACTCTCGTCGTTACGAAGTCTTCGATAAAGATTTTTCTTTTCTTATCGAGTTAACTGCGTAAAGCTTATAGTTATCGATTAAATTAATTAGTATATTATTAGAGTTTTTCGTTTTTTATTTTTTCGATTTAATATAGATAGTAATATAATATTCTTTTTCTTTATAATTTTAATATTTTATACTATTTAGATAAGACTTATTATTTTTAGATTTATTTTTAAACTTATAATTTCGAGGTTATTTATCTCTTAAATCGAAGTCGTTTTATCTTCGCGATAACTGCGATCCCTTAAGTTAAGAATTTTAATTTTCTTATTATTAATTCTCTTATAGATTAAAAATATTATCTACTTCGTATTCTTAGAAAAATTCTTACTTTCTATTATTATTCTCTAAATATATTATAAATATTAGAAGCTTATCTTATTTAATTAATATAGTTTAAATATTAATTAACTAATAGCGAAGATTTATATAAAGCTTTATAAATAAGTAATATACTTATTAATTCTTAATATAAAGATTTATTTAGATTTTTAACGATTAAAGATAGTTATCGAATTAGCGTATAGTTTAATTTTATCTTTAGCTAATATTCGTATATACTTAGATAATATTAAGCCCGCGATTTATTAGATCTTTAATTTAATTTAATAAAAAATTAATAAACTTTTATTATATATAGTTATAATTCGAAAATCTATTCTTCTTATTAGTCTATAGTTCTTTCTAATAATTATTAAGAGATTAACGAGTTTAAAGAATCTTATTCTTTTCGAAAAAAAAGTTTTTCGAGATTAGACGAAACGCCTCAGTTATCTCTTATATTAAAACTTAATACTTTTAAATACTCTTTTTATAATAAATTAATAATTTCTCTAGTCGAATTATTTTTCGAGGTCGCTAAATAATATTATTATATTCGAGATTAATATCGTTTATAGTTCTCTTTATTTCTAAAGTCGCTAATAATCTTAATCTATTATTATTACTATTACGACTATAATCTATAAACGTTTTATCTTATTTAAATAAAATAATCTCTACTTCTAGAGATTAAAGATAATATTTTTATATAAATATATCTTAGCGGCGAGTAGCGTACTCTATTCTTTCATTTAGAGTACGAGTAAGTTTATTAATTTATTTATTAATATCTCGCTTATTATTAATAATACTCTCTTAACTATTAATAATAATATCGTTATTATTACTACTACTCGATTTTTTTATTAAATTATTATCTATAAATAGTATAAAGATCTCTTTATTAGAGTTTCTAATACGCTTTAATATCTCTAATTATATTATAATAATATTTTAATTTAATATTATATCGATTAATAATAACTTATTTTATAAATATTATAATTATACTCTAATTATAATTATTATATTAATTTTAAATCGCTATCTCTAGAAGAGTAAAAGAATTAAAATTATTAAATTTAAAGAGTTTTAAAGTTATATAATAATATAAAGTTAGAAAGATAGATATATTTATATATTAATTTACTAGTAAAACTAATTCAATGAAAGTAACGGTGGCAGTAACGGTGGCAGTAACGATAGACTTTCTTTTTCTTATTATAGCGTGTTAAAAGAATATAAACGTATAGAAGATAGATAGAAAGAATAGAAAGGCCTAAATAATATATTCGAAATTTATCTAAAATAGTTATATAAAGTATTTACGAATATTCGAATATCCGAATATTTCAAAATTTCACAATAACCGTACTTTTTTGACGATTATTCTCGGAGATGAAATCGTCGAAGTATCGAAGTTTTAGTAATTCGCCATTAGATTTAAAAAAGTTACTCTAAAAACTTCTATATATATAATTGAAAAGCTTGCTTTCTTAATACTTAAGACTTAAAAATAAGAATGGGTACTACGCTAAGAGGCTAGTAATTAATTAGATTATCGAATTTTACTATTTCTAGTTTAAAATATATCTTATTTCTTTATTTTTAATCTAAATGGGGGGTGAGAGGAAATAAAAAAAAAAAGGGGGGAGGAAAAAAAAATAAAATTCTTAACCCCCCCTTTTTTTTTCTTATTTTTTATTAAAAATATGATAATAAACTAAGTATATAAAGTTATAGAATTACTTATACGCTTTCAAATAATATAGCGTAGATGAAATTTAATAGAATACTCGTCTAACTATCGAGCTTAAAAGAAGAGTCTCTTCGATAAAAGCCTCTCAAAAGTTATCTAAGTATATTAAATAAAATATAATATCTCTCTCGATTCTTAGGGTTAGATCTCTTAAATTTATTTTTTTTTTTTTTTTTTTTTTTTTTTTTTTTTTTTTTTTTTTTTTAATTTTTATTTAAATTTATTTTATTTTTTTTTTTTTTTTTTTATTTTTTTTTTTTTTTTTTTTTTTTTCACTCCCTCCTATATTTAAGGGGATCTTTTAAAAACCTTTGGAGGAGTGGGGGGGTTTTGGGGGGTCCCCCTAAGAATATAAACACTTAAAAAAAACCAAGTACTCGGCAAGCTTTTCATCTTTCCTATCAGAAGAAGTTTGCCGGTCGTACAACACGAAAATCCTCCAGCTTTCAATGCGACAAGCGCCAGAGAAAGCTGCGTGTTGCAAGTGGCAGTACTGTAGCACTATCTTACCTTCATCTCGGGTCAATGGAGTGGCGCCATTTTCTTCAGCTAACTGTTCCGTCGACTGAGGCCGCATTCGTAGGATCTCCTTCTAAGTCGACTGCATCTCTAATTGGACCAATCGAATGGAAGGACAATCTCGAACGACCTCCTTTGTCGAGACAAAGCCATACGCCGGACCGGTCGAACCTGTACCCTGTGTTACTAACACGCCCAAGTCGCACAAAGACTTGTTCAAATAGAGAAGAACAATTACGGTGAAGGCAACCTACATTGCTGGACAAAGAAACAGACCAATTCTTTTTGAAGACAATGGTCCATTGTTATGGAGTTATCTGCTAGTAGCGTGAGTGCTGCCGTTAAGTACTTGGTATTTTCTCTCGTGTCCCTCAATCCCCAAGATCCTCCACTCAACTCACTTCCCAGAATCTACACAGCATACACCTCTGCAACAACTCCTCAACCGTCACAACGAAATTACAATCATGTATAGACAGGAGTTCCTCTCTCAGCTCCTGAGCACTGAGAACATTGTGCAAGCGGACGGAGCGCAAGAAGAATGCATGATCTGCAGCGAAGTCTACGGAACGATGTCAACCGAAACCGGAAAAGTCGAGAGACAGATTCGTCTGCCATGCGATACCAAACATACCGTTGGTTCGGACTGTATCGCGAAATGGCTAGAGGAGCATAACACGTGCCCTGTATGTCGACATGAGTTCTTTCCAGCGCGAGGTCCTTACTACGATGACGAAGACGGATGGCGTCGCTGGGTTGGCAATCTTGAGCCCGACTCCGACTGGGATTCCGAGGAGTACGATAGCGAGGATGCCCAAGAAGAAGAATACGATGCAGACCCAACAAGCATCTACGGTGCCGAGCCGTTGATTAATCTCTGCCATCTGCTCTGCAACGCCATCGGCTTCGAAAGAGACAACCACCCCGTGAAGCGAGCCGCCGCCCTAGTGGTATCGGGGATCCTGCACCTGAGCATTCTTCAAGATGCTTCGCCCTTTAGCAACTTCAGCATCGCAGCCGCGTGTGTGTACGCGGCCGGGCACCTGTGTGGTCGGAGAAGAGCGATGTGGCGTATAGTTCGGGTGTGGCCGATTCGTGAGAGGAGCGTACGCGATGTTTATCGGAGGGTGATATATGAGGAAAGTCATACAAGGTGGATTCGGCGAGATTTAGTTGAACTGATTCATGCAACGAGTCGGATGGATGCGTGGAGGATTCTCCCGGAACCGAAAGAGATGATCAGAAGGCGATGAGGGGGTGCCGTGTGCTTGATGGAAACCGGTGGCTAGGTAATAGCATGATGATGTATAGGGCTAGCCTAGGGATGGTCGAGTATAAAGTTACAAATTCCCTTTTCACACAGCCGGATCAACTGCTCATAATTTCTCTGGAGCATGCGTACAATCATCAGGATTTCCATACAATCCCAGTCACTTTGAATGATGTTGAGTACCTGAAGCAGTAGGCGGAAGAGGGTGAGAGTAAGGAGCCCCTAGGTTCTATTCTAGAAGCGAATGATTCGGAGCAAGTCTTATGCAAAGGTATCGAGGAGCACTCAAGTCTAGCACGATAATCAAAGTAAAGACAGTGAGTTGATGGTAAAAGCTATTGTCCCGCCAAACAAACCTTCGTCGTCGAATCAGTAGTAAAGATCGTGTGAACTCCCCCAACTCAAAGTCATGTGCGCTAATCGTAGCATCCCCCGTTTTCATAATCGAGGATTAGAGTAGAGACCGAAGTACAACTTGCCACCCTAATATCTCACATTATCTCTTGTCGTCCACAGTTGTCGTCGAAGGCCCCCTTGCCCAAACCGACTCGATCGTAATCCCTAACAGGTGAATTCACGATCAACATTGCGGGTAGAGCCACCATAAGTACCCATGCTACACCGGCAGGAATTGCTCCTCCAGCCCGCTCTGTTGTAAAGGAAGTTGGAAGAATCCCTGGGTTTACCGGGGTCAGTCATAAAGACGGCAGGGAGTTCGCTGTCGGTTTTTGAGAGTCTGATCTGCGTCGATGGGGTTCTGGCCGTTTCCGCCAACGCCGCTATTGAAACCCAGAATAGCATAAGGCGCCTCTCGACCTCCCTCGTACTCAGTGTCCTCAGCACACTCAATAATTTCCAAGGCCTAAGACTTGAATGATTCCAATTTTATCACATTATTAGCATTCTTTAACCCTCAAGGCTTAAGCGTCGCTGGCTCTACATCATGTCTTCATTAACAGTCAACTGTCGACTCATCGTACCTAAAGCAAGAGGCAAAATTGGTGTCGAATCCTTGCTGGCGCGGGGCTTGTACATTGCAAGGGGTACCTTCTTGGTGATCGTGATATAGATCGCTACTCAACCTCTGCAGACGCTGGAAAATGCAATCGAAGTTTCCAGCTCTCAGCCGTTCGTCTTCTCCAGCCAGTTTGCGGATATCACCGATGATGTATTCGACATTCGATGGCGTTGAAGAAATGGCGTCGGAAGCAGTTGTGGGAGGGACGGGCGATATGTCGATCCCATAAACAGAGGCGGAGGGGTAGATCGAGCCCAGATGGCGCGTTACAATGCCAGTGCCCCAACCTACGTCATGTATCTCGGTCGGACTCTTGAGGGGTGCAGGGACAATCTTGTCTTTCATCAGATCGGTGGAGCCAGCTGCTTGGTCATTTAGGCGGGCATGCTCTGCAGCGCTGGTATGGTGAATCGTCGTTAGACTTCGGTGGTAGAAGAGATGATGTTATATGCTGGGAAGTGCTTACTCGTTTCTTGGTAGATTGTATTCCACATCTTTGTAGTCGGGTTTTTTGACTGCAGCTTCGTTCGACTCAGACATCATGGATATATATCTCACCGAAGCTGCTCAGTCGAAATAGAACAGGGGAGATTTAATCCGTTGACAGGCCATGTTCGTTCCCAAGCCTTCAATGTCGAGGGGCTTGATCTGTCCCCACTCTCGACGCAGGGATTGCAATTAGTGATTAGTGGGGGAAGATCGTAACCGCCGTCAAGACTAATGCGAGACTATCAAGATCTTAAGACTCTTTAAGACCTGAAGGCTCACCAGAGCCTTGAACGATGGAGTTAGGGTTTATGCTCGCGACCGGCACTGGGAGGAGTCTAGGTGGAAGTTAAGGAGCAACTGCCACGTCGCACCTTCGTCGCCACCAATTGCACAAAGGTTGCTTTGTAGGCCAAGGACTTCTTCGATCTATTTCTCGTCATTCTCCACATCTGTATAGAGCGATCGTCTACTCCAGGTCCAAGCCGTACAGGCATAGGAGTCTCTTGATGCTGAGCTACGCTGATGTCCCCGTTCGCGCCTGCCAGCCCTGGCGTTTGACACAGCCCAATCACATACACATATATTCAGCTGTGCCCGTGAAGTGTACTCGAATATGCGACAAACAATAAGCCTAGGGGTCGGGGGAACCGGTTTGATGGTTTGTTGCTAGGATGTTTCCGGAAATATCTACATCCTTTCAAGAATGAGTTGATCGCTGTAACGCCTTTTGGCGGTAATCAAAAAAAGATAAAAACAAATGCCAAGATTTTTATTCCCGGTTGATCCCAAGATTAATGAAAGAGTGATGAGTTCTTGCTGGCAATCTTTCTATCGCTATAGAAACCTCTGCCCTGGATCGAAAGAGGCTTTTAGAGTTGCAGGTATCAACAGAAGTGAGACATGCATGTCCCAGTAGCGTGGTTCACCAATCAGATGTGCGGCAGATGCAGACACCGGATATTTCCCGAGACACCTCCTTGCCGACGCGCCTCGCACAATCAAATTCTTTGCATTGACTTCAAACGTCGCCGGAACGTCGACAGTCGTCACGATCAGCCGATGACAGTTTTTGTTGCTTGTAAAGATTATCTTGACCGAAAGGCTGCCTGTATGGCACTTAGAACAGGCTTGTTGAGCCTGCCACAGTGGCGGCACGTCTCTCGCCATGTGCACTCGCAGAGAGTAGGGTTCTCGATATCCTTGCGGCGTTTCCGAGCGCCTGGTCCGGATCAGAAGCCCAAGCCTGGATCAAAAGAAGACTCTTCGCCAGGCGCTGCCCAGAGTCAACAAGAACCGCAACACGCTTCGGATTGGAGTAGAAGTCTTTTCAGTACAGCTGCGTCGTGGAAATCTGGATGGAGAACTCGGTATGCGGAAAATCTCTCGCACAGACTGGCTGTGTATGGTGTCTTGGTGTTCTTTTCTGGGGCGACGATTTCCTACTTCGTCGCTTTTGAACGGGTACCTATCACAGGGAGGAGACGCTGTAGCTGGTTACCGCAGTCGACATTGACGAGAATGGAGGAGATGGAACGTGTTGATATGGAAAAGTTCAAGGAGAATGAGAAAAAGCTGGTCGTAAACAGTGACTACCCGGGGCTTCGAAAAATCGAAGCCGTGTTGGATCGTCTGGTAAAGGCCAGCGGCTTGGACGATATAGCATGGGAGGTTCGTATCCTCGATGAACCGAGTAAGTTCATGCTATGACCGTACTTTTCTGCTCTTCAGCTTGCCGTGACATACATCCCGGGATCTAAAGGTCGCTGTTTGTTACAGAACTGACCCTGTCTCAGACGCAGAGATCTCTTGCGTCACCAGGTCCGGCCTCGTATTGATCTCCACCGGCTTCTTCTACCACGCCATCAGCAACGATGACGAATTGGCTGCCATCTTGGGCCACAATATCGCATCTGTCCTGGCGCGTCATGTCCTCGAAACCGAATTCGTTATACTGGCCAACAAGTACTTTACCATATCATTCCTTCCGCTCGCTCTCTTGGCCTCCATCTGCATTGAAGGCATAGTTTTCCTTGTTCCTTTTTCGGTATCCTGGCTGGCATCGCTCGCTTTGTCGAGAGTCCGGCATCGAGAAGCGGACTATATTGGTCTTTTGTTGATGACGGACGCTGGTTTCGACCCTTCGGGCGCTGTCAGCTTCTGGAAGAAGGTCAATGAGTGGCAGGAGCAGCAGCGTCGTGCAACGAAAAGGATCAGGCAAGATCCGCAGTTCAGGTCCTCACATCCTCACGTACGTCTATTTCGCCTCTTCTTGTACTATTCGAATCCTCACATTCGCGGCTCCGCCCACCTATCGTGTGCCATACATAAGCCAAAGTCTGCAGACATGATTCCATAGCGCTCGAGCCTCACATTTTCATATCTACTCGCCAAACTCTCGAGTCCATTTTTTTCTTCGTGGATGAGCGCTGACGACTGTGCCGCAACAGGTCTGCTTCAAGAAGCAAACAGACGGAGAAATGGATACCGGAGATCCATTACATCTTGGAGGGCCCGCCGTCCGCTACGGACTCGGCAGTTAGGCAGCCTCGGAGACTGGTAGCCCAGAAACGTAGATGGCAAGAATTTGCGAGAGAAAGAGATGAATCTCGACGACTGATATGGGAAGAGGGAGAGGCGAATGCAAAGTGACTGGGGGAAAAGAATGTACGAATGCCAAATCGGTTTGGTCATGAAGCATGTAACTGCCAGCTATTTTCGGCGCGCTCAGCACATTTTAACTGGTTTTCTCGGGCAATTGACCAGATGACTCCCGGTTTCGCAGCCAAACAAAAGTAGGCGTAGTGTCCATTTGCATCTCAGATGACGTGTCTTTGTAGCGTGGCTCATGAAATCACCAGGCGCCAGAATCTATTACTTGCGCAACATAATGCACGACACCGATGACAAAGACGCTCGCACACTTCCGCAATGATACAGTGGGCTGTTTAGATACGAAAAGGCCCTTTTGGCGCGCTATACAACATCACTTTTTGGCATATCGACATAGCAAAGACGTCAATGATAGGTCGCGGCTAATCTCATCCCTTTTGCTTTCGGAAGTCAGTGAGCGTATGGTCGCCTTTGAAAGGGCCGTTCCCGATTGACTGCCGTAGAAAACGGCCAACACGAGCCGGCACCGCTAAGATTTGCAGAGCGTCCATTATCTGATTATTTCCTCACTCTTACCTCGCAATTCCAACACAGACTTCCACGTCATCCTCGCAATCCCCATTACACGACCCCGTCATCCGGCTCCTCCTCCCAAGCTTCCACTCCTTCGGGAACCGCCACACCTTCCAGCTTCCTCTTCGTCCAAATGTGCGTGGCATCGCTGAAATCCACTTTCTGATCCAGCGTCCCCGCTTTGATACTGAGCCACTGCGGCGCCTTTGGATTGCTATGGTAGATGCGAACCCCACAATCCGTGCAGAAAATACCACCGCGAATGCCTCCGGAGTCGGTTCTGCGCTCGAAGTGACCGATGTGTTTTTGGGATGACGGTGGTAGATGCACGCCGGGTGATGGTACGACGAGAGTGAGGGCGAATGCAGAGCCGGATTGCCGTTGGCATTCGTGGCAGTGGCAGACATTTAGGGAGTGCGGTTCTGAGTGTATGGAGTAGGTGACTTTGCCGCATTGGCAGCGGCCGGTGAGTTTGGGGTTCAGGGTGGAGCCCATGGCTGGGAAGGTCCGAGAACTGAGGAAATGGGCGGATACAAAGTCTGTATGTAGAGGAAGAGAGGAAGAGATGGTTAGGAAAAGGTAACTGTATGAAGTTTTATCATGAGTCCTGAGATTAGGTTGAGATCGAATTACGTAAACTCTGCTAGTATGGTCGTGAAATATGACAAACTATTGATGAGTTCCCAACAGCTCGTCAGATTAGACATCTATCATGAAGCATGAAGCATGAAGAATAGTTCCACCTCGGTGCGAACCATACGAGATACACGAGCTATGCGAAAGATGAGGTCAGAAAGCTAAGGTCTTCTTTAATGCTTACTTAGTGCTTAGCCTGCTTAGCCTGATGACCATGACGTGTGCCCCCGCTAGCGTCGCCTATCTCGCTAATGCAGGGATGATACTAGCGTGGCTACCGGGGACTGGCATCAATGTCCAACGTCCAGCCATCCCAGTATCTCATCGTCTTGGATTGATCAATCAATCAATCAATCAATCTGTCGTTATGCGCTTTCCAAGAGCACTCGCGCTTCACCTCTCATGAGTGCCTGAGACCCTGTGCCAAATTGCGCCTCTCAACCCCGGTCGAGAATCTCGGTGGTCCACCTTTACGACGTGTACCATCTCTATTGGGATCCCCGGAAGGCTCCGCTTTCCTTTCTCGGACTCGACGTGGCTATGCCTCAAAAACGAGCAAAGACCGGCTGCTTCTCATGTCGCAAACGGCGCGTCAAATGCGACGAAGCTAAACCAGAATGCCAACGATGCAAGTCGGCCAACGTCCACTGCGAAGGCTACCCCGCCAAGAAAGTGCTATCTCTCAGTATTCCGGAAAAGATGCTCGAAAGGAGAATGTCCAGCTACTCTGCGAGTCCCCTCGACGTCGGAAATGATGCCCTCCTCAATGCGGCGAACGTCGCCCTACCATTCTACCACCAATTCATTACACAGACTGTCTATGCAATTAGCGGCGGCACTCGTCAACGTTTCTGGCGAGAAGATGTTGCGAGGATGGCTTGGTCTACTGATTATGTCTATCATGCTATGATCTCACTCGCAGCGATGCATAAAACATCCACAGACGCTAGCCGTGGACGACCTTCTCCGGCCGCGTTGAGGATGTTCGCGTTGCAAAATTATCAGCAGGCTATCAAACTGTTATCGAATGACAGTAATGCAAGTGCATTGAAGCCGATTCAAGTCCTAGCTACCCTGACCCTATTTTCTTACTTTGAGGTATGCAGTGTACCACTAGTGTCAACCTAATTCGACGAAGACCTCGAAGCTAATGAAGTCAGTGCTACATTGGCGGCTCTGTCGGCTTGTTCCGCAATCTGTGGGCCGCCATCCAGGTATTCGAAGCTCATGTTCGCAACCAATCTCATCTGGACGGCTATCAAATTCACTCTCTTCTCCGTTCCATTGTGAGTCTCGACTTCCAGGCCCAGGTCCTCGTGCCATATGCACAGACCTCCATACAGGACACCACTAGGAAACGCCTGATCGAGAGTGCGCCTCCAAGTAATCTAAAGGACGAGGTAGAATCAGTAGTCCAGCCTCCGCCTGAGGTTTCGGAGACCAAATGTAGCGAGAGGGACGAACTACTCAGACTCATTTCGAGTTTCAACAAGTCGGATAGGATTATCTGGGGTCCCTGGTACGGCTCGGCTGGTGTATCGGATAGTAGCAGGATCTTGCAGTTTCAGGAGGACCTGAGGGCGTGGAAGGCTCGATCCACAAAAACCTTCTCGTCCTTTGTCTCCTCCGACGATACGCCATCGCCACCTTCAGTTCCACCATCAGAACATTTGAATGGATCCCCTCGGGCGGATGAACAGTTTCCCTTGCCGCCTGCACCTCTCCACTTCAAATCTTCCGTGGCAGCTATGAACGTTGCCACATACAACACCTATATGGCCTGCACTTCCTCGCTCCTCTACCACGCGGAAGTCGATCCCGTGCGTTACAAGTCCGCAATGTGCTACTATGTCTATGCAAACCTCCGTATAGCGGAGTTCTTGTATCCTCCGCCCGACCGTGAGAACACCCAGCCTAGGAAGCTCGTCGATCATGCGTTGTTACCCCTACTCTACTGGGGCGGCCGGCGAGCTATCCCTGAAATATGGCGACGATGGACCATCACGAAGCTGAAACAAATTGGCCCGCAAGGATTATACCCAGGGCACACCTTCGCAAATGTGTTGGACATCATGTCGCAAGTGAAAGTTCATTTCCAGGCCAGCTTCCCTAATGGTGTGGGCCACTTCGATATGGTGCCCTTGCTCGTCACAGTTGGCGCAGACTCCCCTCTTCTGGAAGCTGTTTATCTACACGAGTATGCGAAAGATGATTTCAGGATCGTAGCAAGAGCGACGTGGGTGCAAGATAGCAAGGGTGATCGGACAGAGGAAGATATTGATTATGAGTGCGAGGCGTATAAGGACGTCAATACGAGGGTTCCTTGGCGCCAGAAGGTGGAGAGTGGATGGCATTCTCTGCTTTATTTGGAGGATTCGCCTTCACCGACATCGTCAGGATGAATGAAGCCGGTCCATTCTACATCTCCATTGAGGCATCCCGTATCTTTAGAACTACGATGACTACCTGGCCCCACAGACTGCAGCATTGTTTCCCTGGAGCCAGCAGGCTGGTATCCGCAGACTTCAGCAGCGCCGGTTTCTGTGACAGGCTCATGACACAATTTCGACATAACGTTGATGATTAACGATGATTGATCAAGCGCCCGGTCAAGGCTTGATACCGAAGGTTTCCGACTCCATCGAGCTCGCACTCCTTCGAGTTTGTTCAGACACGGGGTCCCGGCTTCAGGCCGTTGCAGCGTTTGCCTGTTCCAGAGCAAGCGCAAGTCTGTAGTCTCCATATCAGCCAAGAGGCGATACCTCGGTACCCTACGAGTTGCTCCACATACCTCTCCAAACCCATTCGTATCTCCGTTTCCGACACCGCAAAAGTCAATCTGAACCATCCGGGCTCCTCAGACCGGTACGCCTCCCCAGTGGCCAGCCATACACCCGCCTTGATCATCTGCCATGCAAGGTCGCGCTCGGATTCTATAGTCTTATGTTCTAGGAAACCAGAGAGGTTGATCCAGAGGAAAGGTCCACTGTTCGCAGGTAGATATGGCACGTTCATTCCGCGCAATATCGATGTGCATAGATTGTACGCTTCCGTGAGCCGAGCAGTGATTTTGATGAGATACTCCCGCAAGAACGTTCCGTCGGACAGGATGCTCGACCAAGCCAAGTCTGCTAGAGAGGACGACCAGGCGAACTTCGAAATGGCGCGCATGGCTGCGTGCAGTTCTGGATTTGTTGTTGAAATGAAAGCGCCAATCCTTAAGCCATTCGCGCAGAAGTCTTTGCTCATGCCATACAGCACGTGCAGCAATGACGGATCAATCAATTTCCTGTACTCAAGAGAGAGCACCGATCGGAACGGGACAGGGTTGGGAATGTCTCCATTCGGAAAGACGGACATAGCGTAGACCTCGTCACTTATCATATGAATCCCGTACTTCGAGCATAACCTCAGATACGCCTCGAGTACTTCTGGTGTATAGCACCGACCGAGAGGATTATGCGGACTGCACAGGACGAGCGCTTTGAGCTTCTTTCCTCGCGTTATAGCTTCTTTCATGGCCCTCTCGTAATGCGCAACAGCTGCAAGGCTCATCGGATCCACCTCGCCGAACGTCACAGCGACGAGATCGACTTTCGCTCGATTCATAAAGTCGCTCACGAACCCCACGTAAAACGGTCTTCCAATCAAGATACTATCTCCCTCATCACAGATACACCAAGCCAGGCTGTCAAGAACCGCGGATACGCCATTCAGTACCGTAACAGAACCGTACCCAAGCTGCTCCACAGGCTGAAAACGGTCGTTGATAAAGTCCGCAATGGCCTGCCTCAAGACATCCGATCCGACCGAGCCATCTCCGTACGTAAGCATTCGCTGCGAGACATGCATGTGGGAATTGACATGCTGCGCGATTTCTGCATGCAGGAGGCGGTTTTCGGCGACGCCGAGGGAGACGATCCCGTCCGGGTTGTGCTGTGGGTGGTAAGGGTTCGACGAACCGGCTTTCATGATGGCTTTGATGGCGTCGGGGACCATGTTCGCGACACCCCGGTTTGACAGTCGTACCACCGAGGGCTTGGAAAGATCCGAGGTGAGCGCTTCCGCGTTCGGTACTTCAGGCTCCATGATACGGAGTGATCCGGATGTCTCAGGTCGATTTGATCGGCCGAACGAGGGGGCTGGAAGGGTCGTCTTTCTTTCTTTTCAGCTTTTGTGGGGGGAGCTTTCTTGTATGCAAGTTGCAAAGCTCTCCCTAGACAGATTACCCTTTGCCCTTCCAACGCATCAGCACACCATCCATAAAGCACACTCAATCCTCCACTTCAAACAAAGCGTCCAGTAAGCCAGCTAGCCGCAACGAATCAAAACATCGCCCATCTAAGCCTTCAAAAAAAATCCCCCCTCCTTGCCCTCCGTAGCTATCTACGTCATCCTGCATGCATTACCTACCCCACCTCACCCCACCCACGTTGCCGAGCCAAGCGACCCTACCGACCACCCACCCTTTTACCGACCGCCACCACTTTTTCCCCTTTCCAGCATCTTTGCTTCAGCGACATGGATGGCGCGTTCCATACCCGATCTGTCGTTCCTGTTCTTTTCGTCGATTATTTAAAACAGTGCGTGCATCTTCGGTCACAGGTGTGGTACGAGTACTCATTCCGTAAGCGATCCAAGCGAAGATGAACGCCTTGCTCGCGTGGCTCGCACCGAGGAGTTGGGCGGAGAGGGGTTGTGGGGATTTCGTCCGGGGGGCTGTATATACTACGGCTACTTTTGGGAATGGAGGTCAGTCTTGTGGGATCTGGAGAGGGGAAGCGATGGAAGCGATGATGAAGGCGAATGCCTCGCTCGCTCGGTTCGCGTGGCTCGCACCGAGAAGTTGGAGGGGAGGGTTTGTGGGGATTGCGTTCAGTGCACATACTACTTTTACTTTTGGGGATTGAGGCAAGTCTTGTGGGATCTGGAGAGAGGAAGCGATGCAAGCGAGGACAAACTTACAGATTCCTGCTTCCAAAACCCCCTCCCTTTTTGTGATCTTGAATGGTAAATGCGCGTAATGAGATTGTTCGGATATTCTTTTTGACATTGTAGGATCCCACCCTTTGCGCGAACGGCTCGGTTGTGATAGGCGGTCAGTTTGCTGGCGCTCTGGAATCGAGCACTGGGGCAATGGAACGTGCGATGTGGAGTTCCAGCTCACTCATGCGAAGAGCGTGGAGACTTTTGATCTGTTGGATGTCGCGAATGTGGCTGCTGAGGCGGTTGGGGAGTGTGTGGATGGTTTTGAAGGGAGAGAGGAGTAGGGAGAAGTGGAGGATGGACGCAGTTTATCATCAGATGTTGACGGGAAGGGGACGGGGAAGGATATGGCTGCATGTTTGGCGTTATGAGTTCAAGGATCTAGCCTCAAGAGTGACTGGAGTATACATCTGGCGGGAGAACTGAACAGGTGCAGAAATGATGCTAGCAGATGCGTAGCTATGAAGAACAAGCGCCCCGATGTCTCAAGCGTCTGTGCTACTCTAGACCTACGCCATAAGTTCAATAGCAGGAGACTCGATGAAAATATGACCGGGATGGGTATCATTTGTCGACTGCTTGCACTTGAAGCAGTAGTTGAAGAGCTCTCCGGAATCTCGGCAGGTCATGCATTTGTGCTTTAGTCCACGGCATTTCTGTCATTATCAGTACGAATGGTCATCAGCGCACCTAAAGATCAACTCAACAAGTTGCAGCCACAACAACGTTCAAGTATTTGGAATATGTCAGTAAAAGCCCGCCTCCCCACATCTCTTGCCTCTGCTTTGAGGCTTGCGGTACTTGTGTCTTCTTCTAGTGTGGGTTCTGATGTTTGGACACCGCAACCCAAAGCAGTCTTGGTCTTCCAAGATATCTTGTGGTGATGGAACACAGCCACATCATCGGGTGTCCAGCCCATAATGAATTCAATACTGAATTCAGCACCGGCGTATTCCAAAATCTCAATTGTCTCCGCATTTCCGGTTTTGGCGGCCCAATGCAGAGGTGTCCAACCATCTCGATCTGGAAGATTTGGATCATGACCTTCTTTCAGAAGCCAGGGGACTGCACTTGAATTGCCCTTCTTTCCAGTGGCTTCGTGATGAAGGCAAGTTCGCCCTTGCTTCTCACAGTCAGATTTGACTTAAACTTGAGGAGCAATTCAAGTTTTGCGACGTCATTTTGAGCAGATGCATGATGGCAGCAAGCTCTACCCTGTCTATCCGGCACGCTTGGGTCACCTCCATGCTCAAGTAGCATCTGCAGAACGTTTGCTCCTTCTCCATGTCCTGCGGCTTTCATCGCTTGAGCGTTGATGATGGTACCCTTGTCGAGCAGTATCTGGACAATTTCTTGTTGGCCGCCTCTCAAAGCCGGCGTCAGTGCTCGGCTATATCTCTCACCCTGGACTTTAACAACGACATCCTTGTCAAGTATTAGCTCCACTACTCTGCGGAGCCCTTGATAAGATGCAAGTTCAAGTGGGTCCTCGCCTGCACGGTCCACCCTTTTGACACCTGCTCCTTTTTCAATGAGAAGCCGCGCTACCTCTTCGTTGCGGGCCCCGATTGCCGCTTCCAATGCAGTACCAGGCAGAAACCGAAATGTGCCTGGTGCATTGACATCAACCCCCTCCTCAAGGAGCATTTGCACTATCTCAACATGGCCTGAAGACGAGGCTGCCTGTAAAGCAGTACCGTGCCAAGGGGCTGAAGTGCCCACGTGAGCGCTTTCTCTAAGAGTAATTGTACTGTCTCAGTAAACCCTCCCTTTGAGGCTGCTATTAAGGCATTGTGGTACGGCCCGCCTTCAGCGTTGCCATCAGCTCCCAATCAAGGAGCAGTCTCACTGATCCGCATAGTCCAACGGACTCTGCAACGGATGCTCTTAGTCGGATCCAATTGTTGAATGCTTCTCCCTTTGTCAGAAAAAAGTCTTGACAAAGTGTGTAACCGCTTTTCTCGGCCACTCGAGCATGTTTGATCCAATATTTTCATTACATATAGAGCAAGCGGATACTCTATGAAGACTCCAGATGGTAGAGAGCCTACTTCATCGAGATGAAGGAGGTAGGCAAGGCAGTCTTTGGCTAAAGTCACATGGCAGTCTATGTCCTGAAGACTGTATTTGACAGCCTGTCCTTGACGAATGATGTCTGAGGTTAGATACTCTTTGACAGAGAAGTGGGCTAGTATGATAAAGGAACCGTAGTATTTCCGGGGACTTCTGATCGATTTCGATGTTGCCTGATGACCTATGTGTCACTGTGATTAAACTAGAGCATATTTCTACTACGTCTTGTGGATCCCGAAGCCGCCTTTGGGGATCAAATTGGGGGTTTTCGTTGACGTCAATGGCAACAACTTCGCAAATTTCTTTGAGATGCATTGGCCGCGCAGAGAAAGCCAACCACTGCAGAATATGCAAGGCGTATTGCTGATAGTCTTCGTCGATGTTGGAAAGAATACGAGCGTAGGTATCGTTCAACGTCCTTGGCAAAGTCGCTAAAGCCTTGCAAAGCATGGGAAGGGTGAGACAGCTCCCCAATGAATTAATCTGGCATGCTACCCATCGGAACCTTTCTAAGTCAGCGGATGATCCTCAGCTGTAGATTTGAGAGATATCAATCCGCTCACATTCCATTAGCTTTCTTCACTAACGTGTCCTCGATTTCCGTTCGCACTTTCGGCTCCTTTTGCCATCTTTGCAATTTCGTGTTTGTTCGAAGTTGATCATGCACGTATGCTCGAATGTCGGCATTGACAAGTGCGCTCTGGATACATGTTCTATTTTCATCCTTCGTCAGAGGCAAGATTGAGTGCTCTATATCCTTTTCTCTCCGGCTTGTTGCTAGGATTCGCAGATTTGTGTCTTTCCAGCCAACCAATTGCTTGATGTCCGCCATCAGTTCCGGCCTTTCTTCACATTCATCAAGAGCGTCAAAAATAATGAAGGCGGTTTTGAAGATGATTGTCACCTGATGGAGTGTTTCTAGGAGTGCCTCGAAGGTCGGTTCTCGTCCACCATTCATACATGAAGAATACAGTGTGTCCAGTACTGGTGGTACACTAATGCAGTGCATGGATAGTTGACTGAGCAAGGAGCGTATCATGCCCTCATGCTGTTGCTTGTTGACATCGTTGAAGTCAAAAAAGAAATATAGCACAGCGGTATTGGATGTTGGGGGGTAGCTTTCAAGGACATGTTCCAGTATTGTTGAGGAGAGAATCGTTTTCCGCATCCAGGAATGCCGTAGAGCCAGATGATTGAGCCCAGGCCTAGATCTTGCTTCCAGTCACGAAAGACATCATTTTTGATAAGCCAGCTACCTGTTCCCTGAAGACGCTTTCTAAGCGCCCTATTGTAATTCGACGATGGATCGAGTCCGGACAACCACAGGCGAATCTTGTGGTGCTTTTCGCTAAGTTGCGATTGAGCCACTCCTTCTCCGATCTCGTTGACCCTTTTATGTACGTCCCTCACATCGCCCTTGATGGCCTTTGACAAGGCAATGTGCTCGTTCTGACGAGCGAGAGTGAAGAGTAGCTTTTGTCGCTCAACAGTGCTTAAAATCTTCTGTATTTAGTCCTTTTCGAATGGCCAAGTGAAGGCCTTGCCGACCTTTTTCCAACCCTCAACAGGGACTAATCTGAGTCTCAACCGTTCTAGCGCTTCTCTGAATTGCTGAATCGGCCCATTCGGCCCGTCGAGAGACAACAAAGTAGAAGACCAGAGACCGCCGGCTTTTGCTTGCTCCGCGTGGTCTTGAAGAATGCTTAACATGGGGAGGACACTGCATATTTCAAGCCGAATTTTTTGTAATTCTTTGGGCCCGCCTTTGACATCGCTGAGGTACCCGATGATTGTGCTGGATAGTTGGAGCAAGGCAATGATGCTAGCTGAAATACTGAGTGGATCCATGTCTATTCTCAGCCTGGTATGATCGCAGCAGAGTTCATAAGGGAGTTCATAAGGGACGGAAAAAACGACTCTTCTGAAGTCAGAGGGCTGCTTGTGCTGAGAACGATTCTGAAAATGGAAGTGAAGAAGATGGTGGGAGAATCCAGGAAGTCCGAGCCTCACCAGCCTCGTCCACTCCCGTCCACTTCCCACCCGACCCTCGGTCTGACAGCAACCTGCATATTGATCGCCGGCTTCCGCCAATGGAGGACAAGCGTAAGCACCCAGAAAACACCATCAGCACAACAGAATCTAAGGTCGATAAAAGAAAGGAAGCCATCAGGGTCTGAGCTGTCCAGAAGATCTTTTTTTAACAGGAACGTTGTCTGTAGAGTTGGAAGAAAGAGAAGTCGAAGCCAAGACCTGATTTCATAAGGCTGAAGTTTCCAATCGATACCATCTTCGAATAGGCAACCTCAGTCTCACGTCGCAATACGATTTCTCCTATGACTTTGGCCTCAAACAGATCTCTGCATACCAGTACGCCCTCCCAAGACCTCAACGATCACACCACCGACTTCTACACCCTCCTCAAAGTCACCTCCGACCCCTAAAAAAAAGACTTCAACCGTGCAAGACGAGAAACAGTCATCGAGAACACTCCACAAAGTCGCAATGACCACAACGAAAACAAATCACCGTCTCGCGCAAATCAGATACGATCTGCTCTCCGAGCCGGCCGACGGAACCCTCGACGAGGAGACCCGGAACATCAGACCACAAGAGAAAAAGTGGAACGAGTTGTTCTAGGGCAGGAGGCGGCGATGGGAAAATGGTGTGAATGCGAGGGGATAAGATAAGAAGGAGAAGCTGGAGAAGGCTATTGAAAGGTTCGCGGATGAAGGAAAGAAGAGACGGGAGGAGGAGGAGGGGGATGCTCCAAGGAAGGAAATGCGAAAGAAGCCAAGGAAGTAGACAATGGGGTGCAGACGCGTAGATCTAATGTTTCTACAGCCATCGCACAGTGTGGTCGTCAAGTCGCAGGAGATTAGTACTGCGGCACGTAACAAGGATCATCCATAAAGGCTGGCGGGTAATTAATATAAAGATTAAAAGAAGTCTCCTAAACGACAAGACGAACAATCACAACCGTTTACAACCGAAAGCAAAGGGGTCCCCACAAACAGAGCCCACAAGCCGATCCTAACCCGAACCCCAGCTAAACAAAAAGGACCCACAGCCCGGAGTCCCGAAAAACAAACCAAACCCAACTCTTAACAGCGGCGGGGTACCAACGATTACGAAGGCACACCCCAGTAATCCATTACCGAAACAAGGCCGAGGTCAAGACCAACCACGTCGGATACGTTCAAACGAGGCAACGATACATATCCAAGGTACAGAAGACGAAGAAAGGAGATCTTCGCGGAGGCGATACTAGCGAAAGGAAAAGAGACAATCCGGGAGAAGAACGGTGTGGTTGGATGCGAATAGAAAAAAGAGTCGGAAAGCGAAGAAACAAAACAGCGTGCCGATGTCGAAAAAAAATGGCAGAAAAAGAATCTAGAGGGAAGGCGGACAACACATACCCCGCACCCCCCCACACCCCCCCCCACCCCGCGGCCACCCCACCACCCCCACCCCCACACCCAGCCCACACCTCACAACGCCCCGCAACCCCCAAATAACCCACCCCCATCAACCTATTCTTTAACAACCAAATTTTTTAACCAATTAATTCGTATTAAACCAGTGAGAGGAGGGAATGCTGCCTTCGAAAGGACGCGTCTTTGCGGCTCAGGGGTCATTTGGTCCGAGGCCCACAGTCGTGATCGCTTCATTATTGGTACGGGCCCTATACCAAATAATGAGCTGATCACCGTACTGAAGGCCTCAGGTCCGTAGGATGCGTGGTTGTGGTGTGATTTCAATAATAAGGTGTGCGCGTTGTGCGAAAGTTTCGGGTGGGGTAATTAATATAGGGCAGACTAAGGTAGACTGCAGGTAGTATCGCGTAGCTCGTTTGGATCGTTTGGCTCGCACCGGACTAGAGACCTCATCCATCTCTCTTCGTGGGTGAATGGGTATGAGTATGTATTACATCTCATAATAATTCTCGCTGCGTTATAAGGCCCAGCGGGAGGAACATCACGCATGCTAGGAGACAGTCCCAAAACGCATTGCTATCCTGATGTCATGCTCCAACACCGCCTCCATGCTCCTTCACCCCATTTTTATCCAGTACCTCCACCTTCCTACTCAGCAACTGCCTTAATTCCGGACTGATGACTTTCTCCCTAGTCTTTCCCTTACCTTCTTCTCCCCCATCGATCCCTGCGCTACTACCAGGCTGTCTTCGCCCGTCAATCGCTGATGTGGAGCCAGAGTTGCTGGGTTTTGGTGGGGATGGCTTATCAGCTGGCTTGCGCTGGCGGACACTAGGAGTGGGGAAGTTATTCCGCTTGTCGACTGCTTCGACCGTGCGTTGAAAGCGGCGGAAGAGGGCTTGGGCGCGGAGGAGGGTGGAGGATAGGTCGATTGTGTTTGACAGTTCGTTGACTATCAAACAATTCGTTAGGTTCCCGCCATATGTTTAGTACCCCGACACCAGAAGAATGAAACATACCGTATTTCAGCACCTCGTCAAAATGCTTCAAATGCTCCATGATGACATCTCGATGCTTCTCCAATATCGCCAACGCAATAAATAGATGGAAGTTACTACTCATATAATCCGTCCATAAGGACTCCCATAACCGGAGAACGTCGGCCCATTCAAACTCACGCTTGTACCAGACGAGTAGCATTCGGAAGAAGAAAAAGAAGTTGGTGGAGTCAGCGGATTGGAGGTGGAGGTAGAGGGTTGGGTCCATGAGTTGAACGAGGTGGTCGAGGGTGAGGAGTTGGGTGCGCATGCCGGATTGGTCGCGGAGGAAATTGCGCTCCTAGAGACGCGTTAGCTGGCTGCATCAACCTGGATATGGAGGGTATGAGACATACCATCCGGTCCATGAAACCAACGAATCCCCAGAAGGCTACAGCATCGTCTTGCTCAACGGCGTAGATAGGAGCCAGAAGATCGCTCATACCCTGGACATAGCCAAGGTCACGATTGTACTCATTATAGGTGAGGAGCATATCTTTCATCTGCTCAAGATGAACGTTGGTGCCGACCTCTGCAAATGGTGAGTCAGGATCAGGATGAGGTATGTCTTCGCCCTCGAAGAGAGGAATCTGACGATCCGTGCGGTGGACATCTTTCTCTATATGTGAGATCCCCAGCAATGGGATGTGTCAGCCGGTTGCTCTTGAAACGATCCAATTGAAGAGAGAGTATCTACCTATCCTGCCCCTCTGCTCTTTCCACCACTCAGTCTCCTCGGCATTGCCGCTGCCGTCCACCATCCGCTCCCACCACGCCCCTTTCAGCCTGACGAACTCGTCTCTTTTGCTGTTAATCATCGCTTTCCTCTCATCTGCTGTGCTGTCCCAGTCATAGACCCCAAGCAAGAAGAGCCATGCTTCTTTCCGTACGCCATCGTTCGGATCAAGACCGCCAAGGAAGATCCTCTCCTTCACTTCATCGACGGTGACTTGCAGCCGACCAACTTTCGTGTCAAAGAAGCTCCTCCATTCTTTCATTGAGAGAGGCTTCCTCTTCTCGGCCAACGAGAGATTGTTGGCCTCCATATCCAGGATCTCGAACTCTCCCACATCACTGTCCTCCATCTCGAGTACATCCTGCGCCGTAAAGATCCTTTGGCTCCTTTCCCTTTCACTCTGTTCCGCAATCCCCATAGCCCACCTTGCAAGATAGACCCTCGCGCTGTCAAACTCATCCTGCAGGGTCTGCACCTCAGGATTCTTCATCAGTCGCCTGACCTGCGGTGGCACCTTAGGATTCTCCACGATATCCTGCGCAGTCCTCCTCGTGAAACTTGTGACCTGACTCATCTTCTCCAGAAAGCTCCACCTAGCCTGCTTCAGCGCCTTTGTGACTGGATCCATTCCTGCGTCCCGATTACTGCTCGACGCTGCACCGGGCCCCTGTATGCTCATAGGACCGACAGCCTTGCTGCCCAATTTTGGACTGTTTGGCGTCGATGTTTTTCCACTGAACCCAAGCTTGTCCTCCGCACTTGGTTCAATGAGGTATACGGAAGGATCTGCGCCAGATTTCTCAACGACCACATATCTCTTCAGCCACCGCAAGACCTCATCGCCTCCCCAGAATGCGCCTCCATCTTCACTGAATGGATCAAATTTCTCCCTCACCAGCTTCTTCTTCTGTAATATGGTCGACTGGCATTCGTCGTCGTGGAAGAAAAGGGAGGGGAAGCTGTTGCCTGCTCGGGTGTTGATAACGACACTACCAAACCACCAGCCAAGACTGGGCGGTCTTATGAGGAGTGAGTAGATCTCGCTAACTGGAACGGCAAAGGCGTACGTGCCTATTGGTGTGGTGTGAGATGTGGATGTAGGTGGCTGGGGCACAAGGGGTGTGTTCTTTGGTGGCGAAGAGGCGTCAGAAAGTTCAACTTTGACATAAGAGTCCAAGGCATCTCCTAATGAGGACTCTGGTAGCCAGGCTAATAGGTATGATGTAGCACGGTCTGCTTTCGAGGAGCTGGAGGAGCTAGTCCTAGGTCGCGCGTCGGAGGTGGGATTTTTCTGCTGTATGAGGGCTATGAAGCCGGGGATGTTGTCTTTGGATGAGGGCGTTGGATGTACATAGACCTAGCACGCCAGTTGTCAGTCTTTGCACGCTCCGTAGGTGTTCGGGTTCGGGCATACCTTGCTTTTGGAGAACAACAGCTTCACGCCGCGACCAGAGCTGCTATGCATGATCGTGTTGTATTCTCCTTCTTCATCGTCGCTCAAGTCGTAGAACGAGGCTGTAGGAGAGGCAGGGGGGGTAAGTTTCGCGGCTGGGTCCGCCATCGTCACCTGCCTTGAGTCATTCGGGGAGGGTTGCTTTGAACCTCGGCAAGAAGGCTGGTCCTTGGAGTTACAAGGCTTGGATGATCGGGTATGAAGACCGTATCTTTAGTTCAGCATCTAGAGAGTGAGTCGTGGGTCGAAGACGATGCTTCCTTGTTCTTTGGAGGGGCGGTTGCGGGGCGATGACGAGTTTCCCGCGATCCAAGGCTACGATATTTTGCTCGAAAAGCCGCATGAATTCTACAACTACACTGCCTCAAATGTTGAACAATGTGTAAAGATCGTTATGATTCATTTTGTGCCTAGGAAAGCGCTTCCCATCCCATTGTGTGTTATCGGTCCTACACGAGACAAGTAGATTGATCTTTTATATTGGACAATATTTTACATTATAAAAACACTTCTTTTACATACGGCCACAGACTAAGTATTCTAAAGCGTTTAACGCTATTTTCATATCGATATAAGGCGCTTCCCCAGTCACTACCTTCATGAGCATTCATATCAATAATATATCGCTTTTATTCGTAAGATTTATCGTAACGTTTAAAGATCTAGAAGCGCTTTTTATATCTAAACGAAATAAGAAGTAAACGACTAAGTCTAAATCTAAATTAGTAGTTATAATTTCTATTATATATATACTCTTCGATAGTATATACTAATAATATAACGACTTTCGTTTAGAATTAAGCGTAATAAATAATAAGATATTTTCCCATTTCCCCAAGATTTAAAAATATCATAGTATTTAATACTTTAAAGAAGCTGGAGGTACCTGTACAGATCGACGAATCAAAGAAAGAGAAAAAGGAGGTGAGACAGATTTTCGGGAAAGCGGAGCGTACCGGTCGGGAGTCTAACATGATCCGAAATAAAGAAGATGTAACGAAGAGAAAATGGGTGCGGTAGGGTGGTAGATTTCACTAACAGAAGATGCGATCCATTTGGTATATTGGGGCTTTTGTAGGACTTCCGGGCTCAGATCCTTTCGGCTCAAATTTGACGCAGCGGATTTGGTGGATAGGGGCTGCTTGGCTCATATGTTGGCAAATAGTGGGGAATATTCAGTTATTTGGAGGCCTTCATTCGCAGCATTTGCATGTTGCATTTACAAGACCTTCCTTGGGTCGAGGCTACCAATACTAGCGCTCTTCGCTTTGCCATCAAACACAAACTCCGATATCAACTTGCCAGTCCCTGGTCCATTCTGGATGCCCCAGCAGGAATGCCCGGCAGCCATCAGGAGCCCCTTTACACCAGTCTCGCCAATCAAAGGGCCACCACTTGCAGCCTGGACGTTCGGTAGGTAACATGCCTGTCTGGCCGTCACTTCACCATCTCGAAGCTCGTCTGATATGGAGGACACGTAGTCGATAATGTCTTGGCAGCGCGAGTCATCGGTTACCACGTCCTGGGTCGTCTTGGGTAAGGGAACCATGGTGTCTCCCTCCCCACAGGCGTATGCTTCATTGTTGGGGCGGGCATAGATCTCTGGGGTCACTTGTTTCGAGTGCGCCCGGTTCGATTTCTGGAATGTGTCGGTCCGTCCAAAATTAGGTGGCAGGCTGATTTCTGTGAACAGCGCATATGCGGAAATGGGTTTCGATGGTCGGATCGTTACGCTGTGGGCTCGCAAGGCTGATATGGGAGCTGGTGGATAGATACTCCTCGTCCAAGGACCGGCACAAATGATAACATCTGTAGCTGCTATGGTGTGTGGTTCTGAAGTTGCTTTGTCGTTATAGGTCACGGACTTAACGGCGCCACCAGTTCTGTCAATACTTGTCACAGAGCCGAGAATGAACTCGGCACCTGCGTCCTCGGCCAGTTGAGCCATAGCTGTTGTAAACTGATACGGATGGACCTGAGCTGTATTGTCCGGTGTTCCCATCTCGTAGTAGCTCCTCGCGCTGTCTGCCGCCACCCAACCCAAATCCTTAGGTATGCCAGCCGCTGCCAATGTTCGGGATACTTTGTCCTTGAGTTTTTGCAATGACACTGAGTCGCCACTGGCATGGTTTCCATTCGCGGCAGACTGCTGTCCAATTGTCCGCCCCTTCGCAGTAAGCGACCCGGAATGCATCTTTCTATATCCCCATCTTTCTGCCCCGCTGTGAGATGCTGCCAACTCTGCGTGTAGCCTGTAGCTCAGAGGGACAAGACTGCTTGGGTATGCCCAGAGTGCCAGTAGCCCGCCGGCCTTGCCGGATGCGCCTCCTGCGATCTTGGATGCTTCGAGGAGTGTAATCTTGTGTTTCGATGGATCATAGGATGGATGGCGGGTCAGGAAGTAAGCCGATGTGCATCCGATGATCCCACCGCCTGCATATGGATGCCAGTATCAGTACCAATGCGACTTGATGACGGTAATGTTGAGGGTGGCGAACCAATGATGACAATGTTGCGCTGTTCAGAATTAACCGTCATAGTGGCGGTGGGATTCTTAGTGAAGATGGATCTGAGGCAAGCCAGGACAATGACAGCTAAGGTGGGTCTCACAGGAAATATCGTTGATATGACAATGAAAATACGATGGCGCCAATGGGGGGTTTTGAGGGCGGCCTCGGCAGTGACGAGGTCTTGCGCCGGGTAATCAAGGTGAAATGCTGAGATCCCTTCCGCTGTGGGGCTGTCTTCCAGCAAGCCTCATTAATTGATGGCAACGACACCTGAACATCAACAATTTCATGGCTTTATATACTAACGGAGGTCGAGGCATGCCGAGATGGCCTCCGAGAAGAAATCGCTTCCGTTGAGAGTATTACCTTGCTCACGTCAAGATGGCAAGGTCAGGGTTAGTATAAATCTTGTACTCGATTGTTCACTGGTGCTAACGACAGTCTTTTAGTATCCTGAGTATGTCTTGGACCTCCTTTCAATGACTTTTGGAGCTCGTCTCAGCCGTCCGAGTTTGAGCATATGCCCACCTCGCCATCCGCGTCCTAGTGTATTAAACCTTCGAGTCTGTTCCATAGTCAATGACTTTCTTTCCAGCTTCAAGATGTCTAATGCGCTCTCATCGAGTTTTGACTTTGCGAAATGTGTACTAGAATGATATATACACTGTCTGCATGCAATATTTTCCGCGCCTATGTATAAGAGACTAACGGGTAGTAGCAAAGAAGATGTCGAGGCCCCACCAATTGCCATGTTCCGCAACAACCTGGTAGGTTGAGTAACCCCATTGTTTACATATCTGGAGCTTATTTTCACGATCAGACCGCTTTGTCTCAGTACCGGAACCTTCTATTTGTTGCCTACATCGACAAAGTCTACGTCTATACGCCCAGCTTCCCCGAACAAACCATTACCCCTAAGCCAGAGTTTGTCATCGACCTTCCCAGAAGTCGGCCAGGTCTCAGAGGGTTTTTGGACCGAAGTAGACCACATGCTGTTAACCACCTGATCGTTGGTGAGATAGGTGATGAGGAAGTGGTCGTGGTCGCCTGCGACGACGGCGATGTTATCTCTTACAATTTGCGCTCTATATCTCTTGCAATCGACGAAGGGGCCGAAACTCTCATTGGACCCGATCCCTATGAGATTCAAAAACTCAAACGCTACAGAGAAAGCGGCTGGGCAAATCTCATTCTTCCTGTCGCTGATCCCCACAGGACTCCAGGCTTTCGCGTTCTGGCCGCATGGTTCCATGAGAATGTTGGTGCCAGTGCTTGGGGCCTTGCAACGCACAAAGGCACTAGGCTCCTGGCAGTGAGTTCGAATACGAGGGAGATTATCGTCTTTGCGCCTTCTCTCAGCCCGGACAGGAGTCTGGCTTCTTGTTTGACGCGTCCACCTCCAAAAACGATGGAAAGGTACACGGCTTGTGAGACAAGAAACTCAATCGCCTCGAGAGATCGGTCTCTAGGTAGAAAGGTCACTCTTCGAGGCCATGTGGCAAACATACCTAATATCGCATTCTGTGATAATAGTCTAGACCCTGAGGGGAGCTACTTGGCGAGCACAGACATCGACGGATGTACAATCGTATGGGATATCTGGGGTGGTACCCGGATCCTTGAGACTCTTGGAAGTGCTGGTCCTCGTAAGCCAAACAAAATTCTCGCTAGTCGCACTTTTACTCATTTCAGAGAATCAGATGCTCGAGGTTGGACTGTTGCTTGCTTGGATCCTCGAACTTCGAGACTTAGGTACGTTGTTCAGGAGTTGTGAGACGTAGTTTGAGGGTGGAGGAAGGGTTTCACACCACCCCCCCTTCTTGTTCCACTTCGGACGTGGTCCTTGTCGTTCGACTTCCTCACCCCTTTCTACCTCTCTACACTTGTATTTGGAGTAAATCTGAGGTCATTCTATGGGCTTCTGGCCCTCACTTCACCATTTCTTGCTATATGAGTTGAATGTATGTGACGACATGGAGTTCTACAGACGTGCCTTCCATCCCATCCTGTGATTGGATGGACTTCTCTCCGGTTTGGCTGACCGCGCTTGTACCATGACTCATTCCTCTCTAGTTATAAGGTTCCTTTCCCACATTATGGCTTCTCGGTGTTTAGAGAATTGAATCCAAGGCTGTAAAGGGCATGCTGACTCCGAAATCTTTATTAGCGAAGGTCCTGTCAATACATTCGGCTGTGCCTGCCGCGTGGATGAAAGCAATACCCTGATAGACAATTCAGAAGCGGGAGAAGTGGTTCGTAATAACTCACAATGGCATCCTGGATTCTCAGCTTTGGGCTCGGTGCCGGGAATGCTACCTGTTGGAACGGTACCTCCTGCCATCCAAACCGCAGTGCAAGGTGCAGCGGTCACAATTGCAGACCAAGATCTTGAGAGTGAAGATGAAGCTGGAGATGAAGCGGACGAGGAGATGGACGAAACTGATAACATCGATGACGCTTTCGACGAAGATGCTCTTGATGAGGGTGAAGAGGCCATTGTTACGGCATTCGGGGCAATTTCTCCTAATCTGTTGGTTCATACACTAGAAGCTGCAGAAGTTGAGCAATTACTCTCGGATGGAAATTCCATGTTGGAAGATGAAGACTCGGATCTTCCGGACCTGGAAGAGATACCTGCGGCAGACCAGACCAATCAACAGACGACCGAAGGTAATTTGTAGCTTCAGCACGATTTCATTTGGCTTGCTAACACTCGTCTACGCAGCGGCCGGAGAAGACTTGAAGACTCCATCTCCAAGGCTCAAGAAAGACATAGATCGGTTTCCGGACACCACACACACTAAGACCTGCCCGAGCTTCATCGATCTACCTTTCAACCTACTCCAAACCGATGAAAGAGATATCCACCTTTTTCGAGACATCCGTTTCGATGCTGACATGAAAAGACGCCCGCCAGACTCATCCCACAGCCAAGTGCTCTGCCAACAAGCGTTGAATCAAAAGATGCCACCAGGCTTCAATTACCTAACTCAAATGGAACGTCTCAACATGATCGCGCAAATCCCAGAATTGGGTGTCGTTGTAATTGGAAACCAAGTAGGCCGCGTGGGCATCTTGACAATGACAAGATGGGAGGCTCAAAAGCAATCAGGGTACAAGATCGAGTGTATCCTCCCTTTCAACTCTGAAGAAGGCAAGGGGTTGAGACCAAGGAAGCCGTTGATGGGTATGGCCGTTGGTCCCATCCAGGGACATGAAGAAGCTCTGCCGCAAGTCAGTCCGAGGATAGGAGCGCAATATCCAAGAAGGTTTCGACTGCTGATGATGTATTGCGATCATACAATCTTGAGCTACGAGATTTCTCGTCCGAACGAGGAAGGGGACGTAGTTGTGGTATGAGGAGATGATTAATAGGCGCATGAATGGCTCGATATAATTTCAGGAACAACCATGACGGAGACGACGAACGGGCAATTGGAAGCTCCTAGGTAAGGGTATGTGGCCGGCGCGTCAGGGCATTTGGGTCCTCAAGAGAGCGTTGAATACAACCTCCCACACGGCTTTGAAGTCAGCTCTAGTCCAGACCAGATAAGTAAAAGCGTCACACTACACTCCTGGCTTGGTCCCCTGACTCCCGGGAACCGTCATGCAGCCACTCCAACTATCGCCTCTTCTTCCTTCCCACCTCGTTCACTTGTCTCTGCTCTCTCCGCCTCTTCCTCCTCTCCTCCCAAACATTCCACCCACTCTCAGCCAAATCCTCCTCGACAACCAAATCTCTCCACCTCCCCATCCTTCCTGCCCAGCTATCCAACCCCACATCTACCCACCCTTCCCGCCTCGCCCACTCCGTAGCTCCAAACCAAGCTATCGCACAAGCACCACCCGCTACACATCCTACAGAGACTTGCGTTGGAGTATGATAATTGAGATAAATGCGACTGAGCGCGACGGATGCAGCGAGCGCCATGGTCAGGACGGAGAGGAAGGAGCGCTGAAGCAGATTCAGCGGCCGGTGGCTGTAGGGTAAGGGTTGGCTGGACGGAGATGATTGGGGAGGCGTTGGCGGGTTATGCCGAATCAGGAGGAAAAGGGAGAGGGAGATGGAGAAATAAGCGACGAATTGGGCGTGCGAGGAGGGCATGCCGTAGCCTTTGCCGTACATTTCTATAACCGACCGGTGTGTCAGTCTTTTTCCTCACGCTTAAGTGGTCCAACTCCAACGCAATCTTTTATAGAGTGCCGCAGCAATGCGCGCGCAATGAGGGTGCCTCCGTTGGACGTACGTTTCGGCCTCTCCTCCTTAATCAACCTCTTGAGCAGGAAATTGAGCGCCTCGCAGCCCATTTGTCCCATGAACATGAGGAGGATCTCCACTTCGCGCGTTGACCATATCAGGGTTACGTAGATGACGCAGAGGGATTGAGGAGCGAGCGCGAGCCAGGCGCATAGGTAAGATATGGGATCGTGAGGGTTCTATAGGACGATTGTGAGTGGGGATGTAGAAGTCAGGCAGGATGGATTAGAATGCGAGAGAAGAGTACTCACGTAGTGTACGTGCGTCAATGATAGGGACGCGAGTGGTGTGGCTTCCATCTTGCCCGCAAGATTGGAGGTGATAAGGTATGACGGGATATATAGGAGTATGCGAATTACTGGTCAACGCTAGTTCAACCTGGATATCCCGATCGTGACTTTGAGTCGGTGTACAGCCCCCAACGATTTGGCATTGTACCAGGATGCAGCAAACATGATTGCATGGACGCTCTGTTTGGTTTCCAATTTCGAGGACAGGATGGGCGCAAACGCGCATTGAACAAGCGCTTAGCCTCGGCGCGCTTGTGCCGCGACCGTTTCTTGGCGTTCTGGAAAATTAGTGAGTGACCATGAGTCACTTTTGCCACAAATGTGACTCTAAGGGCCCAGACATTATAGAATCGTCACTCGGCAACGTCTCTACTCCTGCTTCACTTGTCTGCCGTGTTGAACATCCAACAGCACGGGTACAAGAAGCGACTCATGTCTCCAAATCAAAACCCCAACTATGGCCGATGATCTTGAAGGGGAAGAAGATGAACGAACAGTCGAATTAGCGTCGCTCGCTGCTATATACCCTGAGTTGGTGCTAGATGAACCAGGTTCAGATCCCTTTTCTGCAACCATCTCAATCGAAGTTGAACCCGTCGAACCTTTATCGATACGGTTCCCATCCGCTGATGGTGCACCTCCAGTCGGGCCGCTTACCCCTCCACACTCAGTTATTGAAGAGATCTCCCAGCTGGAGATTGAAGAAAATGGGGTTGCTCCCCCTACAAACGAAGACGTTTACCGGATATCACACCTGCCAGCCCTGAACCTACGACTCTCCCTGCCTGAAGGATATCCGGCCGAGAAGCCGCCAGTGTTCTATCTGGAATCGCAGTATTCGTGGCTTCCGGAGCAAAAGTTGCAAGAGCTCAGAGAAGCGGGTCACTCACTATGGGAGGAGTTGGGCAGGGACCAGGTGGTCTTTTCGTACATTGACCATCTGCGAGAGGCGGCGGAGAGGGGATTCGATATGGCTCAGGCTGATGACCAAGTGCTGGAAGTCTCGCCTGATCTCAAAGTGTCGCTTCTCGATTTCGACCTGAATGCCAAGCGGGCAAAATTCGAGCGGGAGACCTTCGAGTGTGGCATTTGTCTAGGTAGGCCGTGTGAAGGGGAAAAAATGGATAATTGGCTGATAACATGGGCACAGATGCTAAGAAAGGAATCGTTTGTCACCGCCTTCTACTCTGCGGGCACGTCTTTTGCGTACCGTGTCTCCAAGACTACTACAACACCTGCATAATTGAAGGTGATATCGGAAGCGTCAAGTGTATCGCGCCTGACTGTGGCAAAGAACCTAGAGTAGGCCTGGCAGCCGATCAGATCCAGCCGAAGAAGGGAACGAAGGACAGCACGCTTGAACCAAGCGAGCTTTTACAAATCCCATTAGAGCAGGATACAGTCCTACGTTACATCAAATTGAAGAGGAAGAAACGCCTCGAATCTGATAAAAGGACAGTCTACTGCCCTCGCCAATGGTGTCAAGGACCAGCTCGTACCAGCAAAAGCAAACCCGATCCAGGGGGAGAAACCGAGGGCACAGACGAGACCGAGGAGCCTCAGACCTATGACCGCAATGGCCCCCCAGAGAAGCTACCTCCACCGGCTGAACGCCTCGCAATCTGTGAAGATTGCAACTTCGCTTTTTGCAAAGTCTGCAAAGCAAGCTGGCACGGCGAATACTTCACCTGCTTCCCACGCTCCCAATTCGAACTGACAGCCGAGGAAAAAGCATCTGAAGACTACATGAAGCTACATACACAACCGTGCCCTACATGCGATGCCCGAGCCCAGAAGACGCATGGATGCAATCATATGATCTGCTTCAAATGCGATACCCACTTTTGCTATCTCTGCGGGGCTTATCTCGACAAAGCCAATCCATACCAACATTACAACACCGTGAAAAGCGGCTGCTACATGCGCTTGTGGGAGTTGGAAAGGGGCGATGACGGGGAATTTGGACTTGGATTCGGTGGTGGGCTGGATGGATTACCTTTTGATGTCGACGATGATGAGGATGAGGATGACGACCCTGCTCCTGTGCCAGTCGCTGCAGTCGCTGCACAATTTGTACCACTTGCACCACTCGCGCCACCTGTACCATTTGGACCGCCAAGGCCTCAACCCCCTGCCATTCGGCCTGCTCGAGGTCGCGATCCGGGTCTCCAACGGTTCTTGATGATGGCCCGCGATGATGAGGAGGATGAGTAAGTGCAATTCGCCGAGCGACTCCCTGCTTGCCCTTGCCCTTCTTCGGGTCGCAAGACATGTCTTGCACGCAGCGGGCTCATGGTCATCCCCGAACTGTCTCGTAAGCCGGGGAGTATGTCTCAAAGAAATCGTGCTAACTCTTGAACGTGCAGGTGGGACAGTGACGACCTTTCTGACATCTCGGACGACGAGTGGGACGATGATGCGTAAACTGCTTATGGAGGATGGCTTGATAATGTGTTCATATTGTGGTTTGTTTCCGTTGTACATAACTTGCATAGCGGGCAGGTACCCGACCCGTATCATACAAGAAACCCGTGCCTGGTTTTGTCAACCGCACGTAGAAGGCTAACACCCAGCCGATGAAACAGCGAACCCCCAAAGAACTCAACCCGTCCCTACCCTTTCCATGCCCAGTCGCCATAGCTTCCACCGAAATCCCAACAAACGCCAACCCGTGCAATCGCCCTATCCCAAAGCCTCTTCTGACTCCCAGCCACACCAGATCCTCCACGCAACGCCGAAGCTGAGGACTCAACCCAAAAACAAACCCCCCGGCGAACGTCCCTGCGAGCTGTGCTAGCCGTAGTCGTAGGCCCTTGCTGAGGTGCCGCAGCGTTCATTTACGTTCCTTGTCTAGACGATCGTGAGCCTTGGGCTTCTGTCGTGTACGGTATCGGAAGCGTGGGAGGAGGCTTACTGGTAGGTGCGGCCCGATTCGTCCACAAGAGGTGGGATAGGACGTAGACGACCGAGATGCTGATGATGCCGTACGCAAAGACCGCTGCTGATTTCTCGTCGGCCGAGAGGGATTCTTGCATTGAGGGAGCTTTCGCGGAGAGGGTTTGGTGCGAGGGCGGGTAAGGGGATAGGAGACCGGGCTCAGGGATGGGCGAGAGGTTCGAATTGACAGATGCGCTTGGGGTTTGTGTCACTCGGAGGGGCTTTTGAGATTCGGGGAATGTTTTTGGGACGGGAAGGCAAAGGGTGAGGGGACAACGTTTTATACTCAGTCACGCGGAAAACAAGCAGTGCAAGGCAACAGCTTTGCTTGATCGTGGCTCATCATGTCTCAAAAGCACGTTTCAACGTGAGCATTAGGGTCACGAGGCCATCGCCATGCCAATTCACGTGGCTTGGATTCGAATGGTTGGCTAAGAATGCACGGATACGCGCTTGGTATTCCTCACAACCTCGCTTACGGCAACGAGGCGGTGTTTCGGTTTCAGACATCAACGACAAAATTCGTGCGACTTCAAGAAGGCCGCAGAAGTGGGGTAATTCCGCTCTGTGGTTTCGCAGGCCTGAGGGGAATGACACTCGGCAGGCAGATCTGAGGCGTTGCGCCCGTCGTTTTAAGGGCTCGAGGACCATGCAACCTTGAATTACACAGGCGTTAAGACAATCACGCTGCGGCTTGCAAGGGCTCACATTCATGGACCTTGACTCTTTCTGAAGCACAGAACGGGGATTTGGCTATCTCCCTAGCCAACCAGCTACACGAACGCCCACTCTTGGTGATCTGGTGTGACTCCGGGCAGAGACGCGGAAGGATCGCCCAGCAGGTGTCAGAGCATGCGCTTACTTCATATATAGCTTGAGATTGACGGAGTTTATGCTGTAGTAGCATACATATTACCCCGCTGCGGAGGTTGACAGCCATCGAAGTAGGCACCTTTGTCGAAGCAGTAGCAGCAGTAGAGCCTAGACTGTAATGTTGCTGTCGAGTTGGTAATCCCAAGTTGCTTTCTGCCAACATTTGAACATCTCTTCAAAGAAACATGCAATGGAAGGCACCCACGACCAGATGGCCGCACTGCCAAATTGCACATAGCCTAGAAATGGTAGACCTCGTGCGTGACTGGGGTCATGGTCGGTGTTGCCGAAGACCTCGTTCGTGGGTAGAAGACAAGCCGTCGAGTGAGGTGATATTCTTTGCGCTTGTCTGCAAACCCCAAAGCTGGCGCAAGTTGCTCTCTCAAGGAGACGTACATCCTAGTTATGCGTCTCCGGCAATTTTCAAGAAATGAATCTTCTGTTACTGCCGCTCCCTCTTTGACTACAGCCTGTATCACTACACATTGAAACACGGACAAGCTTCTAAAACCATCGAGATCGATGCGAGACAGTACTGCACATGTTTGTACGCTAAAATTTGGAGCGACTAAGCAAGTTCTTCGCATTATGCGTCTATCAGAACAGAGAGTATTGATTTCGTTGGCGTGACGAATGTTGGTGAGATTGGCCATTTGGAATTGAAGGCTGAAATGTTGGATATGTACAACAGCTACATAATTGAGCTGAATGTTTTGGGGACGTTCGTCGTAATTGAAAAACATTCGGTAGACCGCCTTTCTGTAAAGAATATCTCTCGCTTCCTGGTTCATTTGGTGAGAAGTCCGCATTATCGCGAGGCCACCGCATTGGAGAAGGTGGCTATAGACTTCATCCCGGATCTCTCTTGGGAGGGTCAGCAGGACAAAAGTCAACATGGCTGATTGGTGTATGCTTGATGCATCACTGCAGAGGATGAATGTACATTGGCGGGGAGGATGGAGTTGAGAAGGGGGGAAGCACTTGAATGGGTGGCGCTTGATCGCATATAGAATTTATGACGTAGCTTGCGTGCGAACACAGAAAAGATCTGGAAGTTTATGGCTGCATTCCTGTATGTGAGACTGGTAGTTGAAGGCCGCACGATGGAGTACGGCCAACAGCATGCGCGTGGCTACCCTCAGAGGCCAATATCCAAGATTTCGACCATCTGGGCAGACTTTATACTCTGCCAGATAGGCGTTGCTGTTGAACGAGAAGGAGAGTTGAATGCTCCAGAGCAGTCACCATCGCAGCATATCCGGCTGGTTTCGGGGATGCCTTCTGGAGACCATCTGTCTTACTTGAGGGATCTCTTTATGACACTGAGAGAATATGTCATCATCTTTGTGTGGTTTGCCACCAGAATCCTGGCCATGCCGTTCTTCAAGGTGTCGGTAACAGTGTCTGCCTCGCCATCAAGCTTCCCAACAATGCCATAATAGATCTCACGAGCAGAATCGTTCGCGGCGCTCAAGTCCACGTATATCCCATGTATATCGGCAGATTTGGCGTCGCCCAGGCCATTGTAGAACCCTCGTGGATCGTCTGTTCCAATGTTTATCCTCTGCTCTTCTATGACGAGGTAGACGTGACGAGGTTTGACGACCCTGGGTTTGGATTGAGCGGCGCTTGGAACGCATGGCTGGACAGTGACCACTCGCTTTTGTTGGACTCGTTTGATCGAAGCCGTATACCTCTCCGAATCAACCTCTCCATCTTCACAGCATCCACAGAGTTGCAGCATGCCATCTCTTGGATGCGGACGCCACTCGGATTCCCACCCATCGGCCTGGCTTTTACACCGTTGAAGAAAGTCCTTGGAAGCCGCTTCTTCGCCTTCCTTTTCAGTGGGAAACACACCAACTGTGGCATGGTCGTCTCCCATGCCCCAGGGTCTATGGTGCAAGATTGTCACTATGAAGGTGTATTCCAGTATGGACTCCTTCGCTTTAACCGCTCCTAAAACCCTTCCTTGCATGCCAGCACTCGAATTTCGGTGTCCTCTTCTTCCATCAGGTCTTTCTCCATGGCGCTCCGGCACGTCGTCAATTTCCTCATCTTCTGCCGACTCTTCTCCAGAACTCTTTCCAGACGTCTCGTCGGTGGACTCGCGCGTCAAATCAATGACCTTGCTTGCAGTGTGTCCGGCAGTCTGTTGACTCTTGGTGGATAAAGAGGGTTTGACGACGGCGCCATTGCGTCCTATTCGCGGAGGCATTGAGATGACGGTCCGTCAGATGGATCGCTTCACTCACGATCTCCTGCGGCGACGAAGTGGAACAATCTTGGCGCGTTAGCTCAGGCTAGCTGTTGCCGAGATAATCCGATCCAGATACCGGAAGAGATAGGGAAAATACGAGGTAGTACACGTAGTTGTATCAGTCCAAGAGTGCTGGGAAGAGCGACTCCGTGGTCGCGATGAGGATGAGGCGCGCCAAGTAGTTTCGCGCCAAGCTCATGAGGCGCCAAGACGCCAAAGCTTGACTTATCACGTGATCCTGAACATCAACAGAGATTGGAGAGATTGTTTATGCTTGGTTCTGAAAGAGAGCGATCGCAGAGCTGTTTGTTAGACACGTATGTCATATATTCGAATTGATGTTTTATGAGATTGCCACCCATATCTTGATTTCTTGATTCGCTATTAGTCCTCAGTCCTCAGACAAACCCCAATCGTCTATCAAATCACCGCACGCACAAATCCTGAGGTCTTCCCACAATTCTCTGCCATACAGGTACGGGAGCCTACGATAGCAAGTTCTTTCAGACTGCTGTCTCACACTTTTCCCCATATCCTCGGCGCGACAGTGCGCAAGATCCCTATCTACGATTCCCAGAGTAGGCTGGCACGCCTGGACCCGACCATCCTCGGGAACCCCTAATTTTGATGTCGTAGGGATAACTTGTACCGATACCCACGCCGGGACCCAATCATCCTCGGGCATCTTGATGCCGTGAAAATAAGTTGTACCGATGCGCCGTCAATGCCTCGAACCCTATGACCTCTCGCTTTGCAATGAAACGCCCTAAGCAGTACTTGGAGCCGGCACCTAAAGGTTTGAAGCTGGGACTACCACTTAGAGCTATATACGACGGTCGGCCTTGGACTCAGGCCCGAAGATAACGTCTTCGAGACAGAATTGACGGTAAGATGTCGCAAGGATCGTACCGCCGACGACGAGTCAGAGGGCAATCTCACCGACAGATGAATTGACCCTGGCTACGTGGAAGATATCGTCAAATGAGATGTCGGGGAGTGGCGGTTATTCGAAGAGATTCTGCATGTATACTTTGTGAATCCTGGCGATGCTAAAGGAGATCCCTTGAAAGTACTCAACGAAGTCGCGAGCATAGAACCGTTTATTGTAACATGCGCTCAGCTTCAACTTTGCCTGATGAGTCCATACGTATGCCATCAATCGGTGACTCAGAATCTCCACGCCCAGCCAGAAATCGTTAATCTGAACAGTCTCTCCATGGTTGTGAGCGATAACGTCATCAATGACACGCAAACTACTCAGGCTGGGCTCGTACTTCGGCAATGACACTGGCCGCGGTGGTCGTGTGAACAGCGTGTACACCTTTTCTATGTAGCAGGCTAGGAACCAAAAGAAGTCTCCTCCTGACCTGACGCATTTAAGCGCAAGCTGTATAGCTTTTAGAGCTGTGCAGCATTCGCTTGGGGACAGGAAAGGTTGACGACCACTGGAATTTTGGTATGGAAGTTCGATACAGCCTTCTTGGCACTGTTATACGGAGGCGGGCAGTATTTGCGCGGGTCAAAGTTCGAGAACGCTGTGTATCTATCCGCAGGATTTCCGGGATCCGCATTCCGCGAATTTATGTAAACAACAGCAGCGTGCGTGGCCGCTGTGGCACTGACGCCAGAAGCCTTGCATCGGGCGAGGATGGAAGATGTCGGTGGCCGATTGAACGTTATCTCGCAGCGTGCACTGCCACCAGGAGTTTGGGTTCGTGCTGGTGGGCAGCCCCATTGACGGTACGTTATTGACGAGTTGCAGGACAAGGTCTGTAGCAGACTGCTCCATTTCAAGCGTCACCTCCAAGGGAACCTTGACGGCTTCGGCCAGGCCGATGAAGAGATTTTGAGCCTCGTCTCCGAATTGGGTGGACCGTGGATGGGCGAGTGTTTTGAGGAAGTGGTTGAGTAGACGTAGAAATCCGATGCCATCGATGCGTCAATGAAACGAGCGGAAAAGGACTCTGAGGTATAAGGGAGATGATGCATCTTCGCTAGCTCAATCGAAGCTGATGCCTCGCACAAGCTGAATGCGGAGGATGCAACTTGCTCAGTGGTGAACGTCTTGGACAGCTAGGAATCGATGGTAGAAAGGGTAAGGACTTGGTAGTTGTAGGTTTCCCCTGACAATAGGCCGCAATATGAGAGAAGTCAGTACCGCAACATCTTCCAAGCGTGCCGTAGTGCTTGTTTGAGATCTTCAAGTGACGGGCTAAGACGAAGTCGAACGACAGCGCTAATGACAAAGTGCTCTCTGTCCAAGGTTGCACCGCTTGCGCTGGTAGCTTTGTAAGAACGCTCGAGGCTTTCAAAGGGTCGTGCGAAATGTCTGGCTGACGTCCCTGTATAAGACATTGTGGTGGCGAGGGTATCGGCAAAATGACCCAAAAACATGGCCTGAACGCTCATATTGGGGACTGAGACATGGACCCCATGTATAATTGCATAGCGCGTAGACAAGGAGTAGAACACTTACTTCGATCACAAGGTAGACAGTATAGTCAGCTTAAAAGAAAAGGATACGATGCTTCAGAGGCATGTCGTAGGAATTTCAGGCCACAGGAAATTTAATAAAGGATATATTATTTTGTAGCCGAATATTTTCCATCGAGCAGTATGGCCTAGTGGTTTACACTGGAACACCCAAGTTAAAACTGATGAGGCCTTACTCATCCAGCTTTGGCCTAGTACAGCATTGCCACTAACGTCGGTTCGAGGGTTTGCATCCAGATGAATATGCACAGTCTTTAATAAATAAAGCTGGAGCTCCTGTAGTCTGGGTGATTTTCCTTTTGCTCCTTGGTTCGATACCGACTCTGGGCCTTTTTATTTTCTTTTTGTTTTTGTTTTTGTTTTTGTTTTCTTCCAATGTGATCAAAATCACCCACCCACCACAAAAACTGATTATGGCTTCTTCACTTTTTACCACGTCGCCATTCTCTTCGGGCGATTTTTCCTTCCTCATGGTTGGCCCCGCCACCACACTGCCCATCGGCTAAAGAATCTTTAATAATCGCTTCGCCACCCCCCCCAGGTGCTCTTCGGGTTTCGTGCCGTTGTGTCATACTATTGGCATAAGAAGTCTTTCATTGGCCTGAAGCCATCTGCCCCGTCAGGTTCTACAATTAAATGAAACGTCCAATGCTCCATCTGAACCACGCCAGCTGCATTCTTCAATGGCGATCGATTCCATATTCTACTAGTAAACGTGAGAGCGTATTTAACTGCAAGGCATGGATTAAAATCTTAGTACGGTTCACGGTTGAATGCCGAAATAGCATCATCTGTGCCCCTGAGGCTCGACAAAGGCTAAGTGATGGGGTGACTACTTCTCCGAAATCATTTTGTGTTTCAAGCATCATGCCGCCACTCGCTTGGCTTGACACCAGCACCTCGTCTGGCTTTGGGAAACAATTCGTCCACAGCATCTTAGCAAAAGGGAATCATGTGATAGCCACAGCCAGACGAGGCCACGAGCGACTTCAACATCTCAAAGATGCAAGTGCTGCGATCCTAGACCTTGATGTGACCGCACCTCAGACCGAACACGATGCCAAGGTCGGAGAAGTGTTGGGTATTCATGGTGGAATTGACGTGCTCGTCAACAACGCAGGATACATCGAAGCCGCCCTCGTTGAAGAGCTCCCCAAAATCTCCCAGAGCCTACACTGGTGCAGTTGGGGCAGGTGCCCACTCCGCCGCCAAAGGTGCTCTCGAAAGTACGTCTCCTCGGCAGCCGCCCTCGGTGCTATTTCTACCTCGAATCTAGTTTGCTGATACAGTCAATGTCACAAGGCATGGTAGATTGTCTCCGAGAAGAGATTTCCCCGTTCGGTATCCAGTGCTGCCTCATTGTACCAGGCTATTATCGGACCAACATCTTCGCCCCCACCAACATCAAAATTGGCCAACTTAGCACTCCCTGATTGCGCAAAATTTAACAAGCTATACCAAGCTGAAGTCAATGCGTTGCACAACACCCAACAGGGCGATCCGAGGAAGGCGGCGGATCGCATCGTGGATATGGTACGGTCAGAAGGCAAGGCCGCAGGCAAGACCATACCTGCTATATTTCGCGTCGGTGCGGACGCGGTCGAAAAACTACGTGGTAATTGCTCGAAGAAGATGGAGATCTGTGATGAGTGGGAAGCTTTCAGCAACGATACCAAATTTGACCCCCAGGAGTGATTCCGAGGTCTTCCCGCCTGCCATCGAGATAGCTGCCAACAATGAAGTATTAGCAAAGACATTGGAAACCTTGCCTTCCTCCTAGTGATCATGAGTAGGGAAAAAGCCGCGAATGATGCACTGGGCAGGCTCAGTTACATGATATGCCACCTTGATGTCTATGTTTTTCAAAGATCCTGAAACATCAATCGGGCCAACCCTTTTCTCCAACCTCTTGACCCTCTTCTTTTTCTCGCTACATCAACCCAGCGATGTGGTAAAGATATGAAAATACCACAATGAATGCCACCGCTTTCAACGACGCAGATGAGTATTCAGCTCGGAGTCAAAGAGAACAAACTTCTCGCATTGGATGAGTCATGGTGGGACAAGACTTGCCAAGGTTCTTGATGCCGAAGCATCATTGCTGGACTAGCCTCTTTTAGAATTGGTCGAATGGGAATCTTTCGGTAGCCATGCACCGAGCTATTCGAGGGTCACAACAAATTCCAATGGTACTGCCTACATAGATAGTCACACCCCACATGCAATAAACCGAATCCATCAATTGCTTTGCCTATTATTGTGCTTCTATAAGGCTTAGGACCTAAAGGGAGAAGGCAGTCGAGATACGAGTGTGCTGTCCTGTAAATTGGAAATTTCGTACTGTTATAGTGAATATGTAGGAGGGCCTCCTTCTCTCCCGCAAAGCTGTGCTCATGTAAGATCTATTACTGAAACTTTCCGCAGCTTCGGTCAAAGTCCAGAATAGAAATTCAGTCAGAAACCACGCTCAGAACTCAAAGGACGGGTGTGGCTATTCTCTTGGAGGGTGAGGACGTCCATGCTTCACAAATCGATGTTAACAAATAGAGTGTGCTCATGTCACAGCTTGTGCTTCAGACGCGTCGAGTAACTGCCAATCAAATGGAACATCATCGTCACCAATGAGACCAACTAAAGATTGATCAACGAGACCCTGCAAGGTCGTCAGTAAGCCAGCGGTCATCAGCAGATTAGCAGGGACTCTCGGCTCACCCAATCAATGTTGTCGAACTCGCTGAAGACCGTGTTCAGAGTACTCGTAGAAGCGAAATCAAGTGGAGCGTAATTATTGGTAAGAAGCTCTTGGTCTGTAAGATCGAATTCGTCCATGTTCCACGGCGAGCTCTCCGGGTGGCTCACTGTTGCACCGAATGGTCCGTTCCCATTCATTGGGGTCTGCGTCATACTCGAAATCTTCTGGGGCGCTTTTCCCGGGAAACTTGGTCTTGGCACTTTCGAGAGCATGACAGCGAGAACGCTTGAAGCATACCGCGCATCCCGAGAGAACTCTCTGCGCGACGTCCAGATGCCATGAGAGTGTTTCAAAGCGTCGTATTTTTTGACTTGAGCCTCCATACCTTTTGCCGATGAAGTAGCCGACTGCTTGTGGAACTCGTAGAGGTCCAGGCAGGTGATCATTGCTGCCAAGAGGAAGTCATGGCATGAAAGACTCGAGAGCATCCATTTGTGGTCGTAAAATAGCCCCCCCGGTTGGCATGCTCCATGAAGCTCGGCTTGATGTTTCAGTATATGCAGAGCTGCGTCGCCACAAACCCTTCGGGAGTAGCCAAACGATGGGTCCGACCTGTCCTGGCTGAGATACTTTCGATGCAAGACGCAGATACTTTTCAGATACAACAGGTCAGAGTACAGCCTGTTCAGTATCATATAAGGCTGATCTGTGAATGACAAAGCCAAGGGTCTCATTCGAAGACTGGGAGGCACATCCTTGTGCGTCTCCTCAAGCTCAGCATCCAGTTTCATTGTATCTTCATACGATGAGATTTTGAATGAAAGTGCATGCCGATGAATGCGGCGGAATATCTTCGCTAGTCGACTTTTGTAACGATAGTATAACATTGGTGTTGAGTCAATTGGCGGCCGAGAAGGTGGGAGAGCTTTACAGTCCTCGTCAAAATCTGTATCGAAAAGGTTGCTTGGTGGCTCGGTATCACACTCTTCCTCGTAGATTACTGTGGGTAACCCAGCCTGGAAAGACAGCAGTAGGTCGAAGGCCTCTAGGATGCAGAAAGTCCTCCTCCTCATCTCCCCTTCGAATGGGGAAATGTTGACAAGATTGCCAGGATCTCTGTGGTATCCCATCTTCATAGCAAGGCGTGTACTAATTCCCATAATCATCCAGGCATCGTTGTCTTGTTCTTCCTTCTGTATATACTTGCATACTCCATATAACAGCACGGCCTCTACAGAATATGGTTTGGCTTTCTGATATCTGCCAGCAATAAGAGCTTGGCCGGCTCTCTTGAGGAACGTCGCTCTCGGAGGACTGTTCGAAGAACCAAGAACCTCTTGATCACCCCCTTCGTGAATTTGGGAACCGATATACAGTGCCGAAAAGAGCATTGAGATCCAGAGGAAAGAGACGGAAGAAGGTTCGACGGAAAATGATTCGTACTAGGCTTAATTAGTGCTCTGACATAGTATCTCGATTCGTATACTACGTGCCTCTCTGAGAAACTTCCCCGTATGAAGGATCGCTACATGGGTTAGCAGAGGGTTCTGGGATTGATGCGGCGTGCTTACGGGTCTGACTGTGCATTGAGTTGAAGTACACGGAAAGGAGCTTGTTCAATGTAGGTCTTGGTGGTAGGGAATTGCAAGCGTCCGTAAGTGTCATTGATTGGTTTGTGTCAAGTACAATGTCAGGACCATTGGAAGCAACGGGTGGTTGTATTTCTCCCGTATCACCCGGATGCTGCTCAAGAACGCCTTGTATGTCTCGAATCTAGGCTTAGTCAACTATGTATCCAGAGCTTTGTCCCGGCGTGAAACACCGACATTCTCTAGTATCGCTGTCCAATGGGTGGCGTTGACATAGCTTCTCTCTGGACCGTTCATGTTCAACTGTGCTTCCGGAGACGAATCCGAGGTTGGAGGCGGGAGATTGTTGAAGCGCTGGTCGGCTATCACAGCCTGAGGGGACATCTCGTTGCGAAGAATCTCCGAATCCTCTTTGGTCGTTCGCATGAGACTAGTGACCATCTCCTCTAGCTTCTGTAAGCGGAGCTGTGCTTCGGAATCTCGAGCTTCGCCTCCACGTCTATCGCGCCCATTTGTGGCGCCATTGGAATATGCGCACGAAGTCTCATCACCTCTCTTTGAGCATGACACGCACGGGATCTGTCGGTCACACTTCAGCCTGTAAGGACAGTAAGCGACCGATCACGAAAGTCGGAGTGCCAAGGAATACAAACTTTCGAGTCCTACAAGGTAAGCATGATACCGACTGACGATTTCGCTTCGCCACGTGAGACTGTGTGCCATCGTTCGTAGCATCACGCTTTGCGACTCGGAAAACATGCTGATGTTGAGACAGTCCAGACATAGCGCGTCGTAGCTGCGGAAGCTCTTGTAATATTCAAGATTGACTTATACCGCTATGGTCTCTTAATACGATATGAGAAACCACAAAAGAGTTGACCTGCTTAACCGGAAGGGCGCTTTTCTCTTCACCTGAGGTATGATAATGCGTTGCCAGTGAAATTGCACGCCATCTCAATTCTCGTACCCTCTATCAGTTGCAGCATTGAGATGTCACTAAGGTATATCATGGATTTCTATTGCATTGTGTAGGTGGTGAAGTAAAAGTACGTATGTCGTGGAGCACACAAAGAGGAACAGGGATAAAATGCACTTGTCTAGCGCCAATGCAGAATAGACCTCTCGAGACCCCACAGTAGCTCGACAGATTGTACGATTACAACATAGACGGCGGGAGCGCAGCTGCAACATAGTCCCAGCTTCTTTCAAAGTGAGCCTTCAACAATGGTAGAGTGAAGGATTACCATCAGGAACCAGGACCAGTAATCTAGAGTCTAATCGCTCAGTACGAGCAGACCCGGTCCACTGCATGCTTTTCCTCTACAGAAGAGCTAGACCTTCACTTGCAACCAGCAGCCTTGGTGGAACCCTACTCAGACACGCCTACGAGGTTGAGGTCGAGGTCACCGAGAGGAGACCGAGGCAGCCGCACTAGGCACGGAGAAAGGCTGAATGCGCGAGAAAGCTTGTGATCACTGGTAACAGAAGCGGTAATACCTGTAGATGCTGTATGCTTCTGGGATGATCCTTGTCTACACCTGGTTGATCAGCTATGATGGCCTTGGCTCTCTGCGCCTTGAGACCCAATCTCCGATTATTGCCACGCAAGGGATATTTGGAACGTACAGAACTAAAGCCTGGATATGGTTAGATCGAAAGCTCCCATCCCCTTGCTCCGCTTCGCTGTACAGCACAGCAATCCTCAATATCCCGGCACGGAGTTGTTAGCCACATCCAAAGCTCCCAGTCCTCAATATTCAATCTATGGTAATACTTCTCACGGGCGGCACGTGCAAGACTTCCAAACACGTTGCGCCTTTGCAGGATGCGAAGATTCCCTTCCTCTTAGCCTCCCGTAGAGCTGAGGCCGCAGCTCCGGCCGCAATGCCAGCGACAAAGTATGACTGGCTTGACTGCTCAAGTCACGAGAATCCATTCCAGCACGTATTACCTAATGGAGCGAGCATTTCCGTTGTCTATCTCATTGCTCCTGGGTTGCAGGATCCTGCACCTTCAATGAACGCTTTCCTCGATCTTGCAGTCGAGAAGCATGGTGTCAAGCGATTCGTTCTCCCGTCTGGTAGCTCACTGACGAAGGGTAGGTATTACACAGGGCAAGTGTGGCAGCACCTGGAGGACATCGGCGTTGATCATACTGTGCTCCTAGCTGCATGGTTCACAGGTACATTTCTTCCTTGACGCTCCACACCTGAAGGGAATGTATCATATTTATCAACAGCCTTGTAGAGAGTTTCTCGAATTTTTCGCATCCGATCACCATTAAAAATGAGAGTAAGATCTACACCGCTTGTGAAGATGGCAAGATCCAATTCGTCAGCGCCACGGATATTGCGACTGTCGCCTTCCATGCGCTCACAGATACGAACCCGCACAATACCGACTATAGGATCCTCGGTCCTGAGCTATTGGCCTACGATGAGGTATATTCCCAACTTTTTGGCTTATTAAGTGACGTTATCGCAAACTCTGACAATGTCCATGCAGATTGCGGCCAAAATCAGCAGCGGGTCGGGACGCAAAGTCGTGGATGTCAAGAGCTCTGAGCAAGAGAGGGTACACAAATTCATGAGCATGCACATGCCGGAACAGTTCGCGAGGTTCATGACCTCCCTCGAAGTCTCGAGTGCAAATGAAACGGAGGATAGGATGAATGATGTCGTAGAGAATGTGACGGGACGGCCTCCGCAGGGCATGTGTCAAACATGGACAGGGTGAAGACGTGGGGCAAAAAGCTGAGATGGGGCTTTTGCATGGAAGAGGAAGTCACGAAACTCAGAGCCTACCTTGTAGCACATGTGGGAAGCTTGGATATGGGACTGATCACGCAAGGCTTATGAGTAGCTGATCGAGGCCTCAAACCCGCCGTACTGACATGTTGTTACAGAAAATCGGCGTCCTTTGTAGCAGAGCAGAACTGGAAAGATCATGAGGATCTGGAAACAAGACTCGAAAAGTCTCATATGGAACTAGTCTGTATGCGACATGACCTGCAAGCAAATACGTCGCTGTCTCGGGACAACAACCCCATTTTGAGCAGATTATCCGGCCTTATTATTCGGTAGGTCCTTGATGATGTAAGGCTCTGTTGCACGGCTTGACTTCACTCACAGGGACATGATTCCGCAGTTGAAAACCCTGGTAGATCTTGCCAGCAAGGTCTGGCAGTCGAACGTGCAAATCATTAGCTTCATCGTCAATCTACAAATGTCCAGTCCTTCTCCAGAGCTGCGTTACACATGGGTCCAGGAACCGACAAGATTCGAGGATGCAATGGGACGGGTCATCCCAGTTCCTTCCGAATATAACAGGGGGGCATGTAGATCTCTTTCCTCTAATATTCTGACACATTACTCATATTTTCTTTCGCAGAAGTTAGAGGCCATCATCACGGCCCAATTCGATAACGAACCTGGATACAGAAAGGTTTGTGCCGGCGAGTAAAATAACCTGGATACGCGGACAGCTCACAAGTCATTTCCCGTGCCGAGAGCGAGTAGTACTAACTCTTTGCGAGGCAAACGGTGATGATGTAGAATGCATGTAGATTCAGTGGGGGGCCATCAGCTATTATGTAGCTGATGGAGAACAAAGCACCTATCTATTTCTAACTACAGAAAGGAACAAGATGGAATTGCATAAGATATAGGAAGGACGCAGCATAGAAGGAACTAGACACGCTGATACTAACACCTGGACTAAGCATTACAATGGCGATCATCGTCGGGCAGTTCCACTCAGGGTAATCTAACCGCTGCCCGCGGCCTGGTTGCAAATCTGATGAACTCACTAGCAATGAGTCAGGAGGCAAGATTTGGTATGCCTTACAAGACTCCTGCATTCTGCTTAGACCAAAGCTCTGTAAATTGATTGCACTGCCAAAGCCGCATCTGCAGGGCCTATTTTGACCTTGCTCCCACTTCCGGTATAAGGTCGTTATGCGTTGTAAGATTCATTCCTCAGCTATCACACAGCTTGGACACGAAAGTGTTTCAATATTTTGGCAGCTTATGCCGGTACTGAGGCCCAAAACTGTCGTAAGAAAATCGAGTTGAGCAGTCTTTTTCAAGAATTTCTGTACACAAGAGCATGAACGACGTCGTTGAATCCAAGTTGTTGTAAATTCTTCGGCTGCAGTTGAAAAGCAAACAAACACAAGAAAGGCGACATTGAACTGGCGACCCGAATGGTGACAGCCTTCCCAAAGCACGCTTCATGTCGATGCTGGCGCTAAAATATGTAGCTTTGCAGGGTTCTCCCAGTTGGAATTATGGATTCCACCGACTCGCCACTTATGATCCAGTGAAGAGTCGTCATGATCAGCTAATTCCAGCCTCAATATTCCGGACATACACATTTAACGATGAGAACAGTTTTCTTGCCACTACAGCTTTCCAAGTATAGTTTCCGAGCCCTATTGGCGGGCTGGAACCGATGTTGCGTCTACTGATTACACGATAGCATTACTATAGTCTTCGTTGGAAAATTTGAGGGACGCCCTTTCACCATACAGGCTCTTCGAGTAGGTTGCCCACAGTCGGTGCCTCTTCTATTATCGCACGATTCACCGAGGCCATTGTTCAAGGTAGAAAACTCGGTGTTTGATTCAAGGGCGACTCGGTGTGATTAACAATGTCAACCACTGAAAGAGGCCATGCTCGTCGCAAGACAAGCACTATTCAAGGCCCCTCCTTTCAACCTCAAAGAAGCGGACAAGGCCCCTTTTTAGGCTGTCAAAGGTCTTGGTTGCACGGACAAAGCGAACAGGTTTTGACATGCCGCCAACATCAGCCCTCTTGTTCCCCTAATAACAAAGAAACACGAACAGTGTCCCCCTGATAAAGCCTTGATCGGTCGCCTGAGACTTTTGACTCACTGCCCCCTCTAGTGGAGCAACGCTACAGTATCATGTCGTCCTTCATCCTACCTCGTCCAGCGCCTTCGTTGCCGGTCAACGAAACCGCCCAGCTCTCCCCCATGCACTCCCCTAGCGACCCTTCCAAAACCTTCTCAAGCATAATCAGCCACTTGAATTTCGCGCACGACAGTTCATGCCTAAAGCTGGACGTGCCAAAGCCTTCATCTGATCGCCCGGTCTCCAATCAAAGTTGCGATGTACAGATGTTTCTGGGTGATACACCGCGCCTAGCGACCCCACGCACCTCGGTGAATTTGAAAGACTTTTCGAAGACAAATTCCACCATCATGAGCCATTGTAAGCTTCCGCCCTCAGCCCCGACCTCCTGCAAGCCCACGCCAAGAGTTTCGCACCTCGAGATCCCCTCAGCTGGCCCCAAGCCTGTACCAAGGCCCAAATCCGAACGGCAACCACCTTCCAAAGCCCCCGTAAGGCCCGAATACACGACCCAACCGTCCGCGCAAACCCGCTACGTCGACATGCTCTTGGGTCTGGATACTATACCCCGCTCCCACAACCTGTTCGCCTCGTTCAGCACCTGGATCCTCCTCGCCGGCTTCATCGTCGTCCCGGGCACCTTCGTCAGCGTCGAGGATAACAAGAGGCTTCAGAAGGACGCCAAGGATAGCAGGGTGGACCATGCGGTGCTGAATACGGTCAAGCACGCTTCTCTGATCTGGGTCGCCGGTTCCTGCTGTCTCGTCGGCGGGGCGGGCATGGTGTGGCTTTGGTGGCGGTGGAGGAGGAATTATGTTTGGTTGATCAATAAGATCTTCTTGTAAGTGCCTCGTCTCGCTTTTGAAATTCGTTTTCTCGAGAAAGGACTCTCTGAGCTAACGTTGTGACGATAGGGTCGGGCTCCTCAATTCGACCGCTGGGCTGATCTCCACGCTCATCAACGTCTACTCGCAGCAGGGCGGTAGGTTCTCGATCACGGCCAAGATCACGGTCGGCGCTACCGCGTCGTGTACCGTGGTCACGGCCCTCTTGTACTTTCTCTACAATTTCTGGGCATTGCAGAGTGTGAGGAATAAGCATCAGAAAGAGTTGGAGCTCGAGTCGGGGCAAAGGGTGGGCAAAGTGATATAAACGGCCGGACAGTGCTGCGCATAGGTAGGGAATTGATAGCTGGACGATGGATCGGTCAAGAGCCCATGTTGTGCGTCTTTGAAGTTGTGGATAGCGTATGGGTTTGCGCTCAAGTGGATATAACTCTGCATCTACAGGCAGCTGATGAAAAGTTTCAGGGATTCTGCCGTAGTGAATCCCACTTCACCAGAACCCCAGGAATCCATGCAAGTTCCTGAGAGGTTCTGCAATCTACCGCCTAAGTTTTTATCATCCGAACTCAGCGAGATCGGAGTGACAAGCTCGTGTACGCTCACATTTGAGACTTCAAAGACGCCGAGCAACGGCGCACAAAAATGATAATATACGAAAGAGAACACTTTTTCTGATTATCCTTATCTTCAAGTGTAACATTCCCCGCTCTACTGCATCTGACAATGGCAGCGATACTAGGATTTCGCCTGCAAAGTCGCTGCCGCGATAGAGACCTGAGCAACTGCTTTTGTAAGAATACTAGACCATCTCCAACCTTTCGAATTTTTCAGGTAACAAACTGCATTGCGTTACCGGTTCGCTGATAATCTTACATTCCATCGTGGGCCCTTGGCATACATCCGGTCTCGCGAGGTGGGATACCGAAGGTGGGGTGTGAGATGTGGTAGGGCACGAGGAGTCCGATTCGAGGGGTGAGAAAGTGTCGAAAGTGTCGATGATGGGCCAGATGCTGGGCGGGAAGAGGCATCGAATCAATCTCTGTGGTGGACGATGCCATGGAGGATGTCACTCAGCGGCTGTCAGCTTCGACAGGCTTTCCTTCTTCATGTTTGCAAGTCTGCAGAGAGAAGTAGTTTCTTGCCTTGTGGATTTGTACACTATCGTAAATCCAAGAGATTTTCCTTTCGAATGGCGGACTCATTAGTGAAGCATGGATTGTAGGATCTCTAGAAAAATCTACTACTCCGCTGCGGTGCAGATTCAGGACGCGATGATGATGGGTGGTAATTGTCCTCAATACTCGTTCGGACATCTCTAATCTAGAAACCCATGATCCAACACTGAACATGTACTCAATCACGGATTTATGACTTGAATATGTAAGGTTGGCACCGGTCATTGTTGTCATCCACCGCTTCGTAGCTCCACGAGCAGGTGAACCAACCAACACCTCCATCGCTCTTGCCGAGTTTTTCCCTGTTTTCATTCCTTGTAGGTTTACTACCATTGCATGAGAGAGCGATCCCCGCTCGCTTCGAATACTTCGCCTATCGATCATTGCGGCACTGGGTCGTTAGCGACAACGCCCCCTTGGTTGGCTTCCAGGTGGGCACGCGGATGAAATTCCAAGTTCTTGCGGGTAGGGTCAACGTCTTCACGCCGGGTACTTGGACCCAAGTCCTTTTCCAAGTGTTTGACGGCTCTCAAGATAGAAATAGCCTTTAGCCGGCAATGTAAGGGTTGCTGTTCTCCAACAAGCATCGGACCTTTATAATGAATTTCCAAGATGACCCGTAAAAATCCGTTGAGTGTACGGAGCTGGCCCAAGATCTTCTGAAGATGTGGCTTGATGTTGAAAGGATGGTAGTCTTCCGTACAGAGAAACACCACTCGGCACGTCTGTCGCAGGACAGTGGAGCCACTGAATTTGAGAATTGGATCAGTGGTGTCTCCCCAACATCGACCATTCATTGAGGATCCCATCACTATCTCAATATCGACGTTCTGAATCAAGGCAGCAATAGGCTCCTGGAGATTGATTGCGGGTCTGTACTTCGTGAAATCCTCGATGAGATGACAGACGCGACGTTTGTAAAGGAAGTTGATGCCTTCTTCGTGTAATTTCCTCGAGGTTCGAAGTATCTTGAGATTGCCAGATGAGATGACGTCGTCGTAAACCATGTCGCGGAGCTCGCGAGGTATGGTGTAGAGGTAGCATGGCTTCGAGGGGTCGTACGTGTAGGACGGAAGGGGGAAGACGTCGAAAGGGTCATCCATAGCCGCAGAGAGCTCCGTGAATGCCATGGCAAGATGTTCGGAATTCAGGAGGTGAGCGGTGTGTGGCATATTTTCCATGGGCTCCATGCCGATCACAGCTCTGTCGGTCAAGAAAGTACGGTCCGCGTGAGGTTGCGCTGACTTGATCGCGAGTTCTTGGAAGACTTTGTGAGAGGCGGATTCTGTGTCCTGCTTGATGTTGTCAAGCTTGGCGAGTTCTGGAATGACTGATGAAGCCATTGGAAGATGAAGTGAGAAGGATGCTCTCAAATGGAGTTGTATTGAAATATTTTTTTTTTTTTTTTTTTTTTTTTTTTTTTTTTTTTTTTTTTTTTTAATTTTTTTTTTTTTTTTTTTTTTTTTTTTTTTTTTTTAATTTATTTTTTTCAATTTTACTTTTTTTTTTTTATTTTTTTTTTTTTTTTTTTTTTTTTTTTTTTTTTTTTTTTTTTAAAATATATTTTTAAAAAAAAAAATAAAAAAAAAAATTTAAAAATTTTTTTTTAATTTTTTTTTTTTTTTTTTTTTTTTTTTTTTTTTTTTTATATTTTTTTTTTTTTTTTTTTTTTTTTTTTTTTTTTTTTTTTTTTAATTTTTTTTAATTTTTTTTTAATTAAATTTTTTTTTTTTTTTTTTTTTTTAAAATTTTTTTTTTTTTTTTTTTTTTTTTTTTTTTTTTTTTTTTTTTTATTTTTTTTTTTTTAATTTTTTTTTTTTTTTTTTTTTTTTTTTTTTTTTTTTTTTTTTTTTTTTTATTTTAAACTTTTAAATTTTTTATTTTTTTTTTTATTTTTTTTTTTTTTTAATTTTTTTTTTTTTTTTATTTATTTATTATTTTATTTTTAAATTAATAATTATTTTAATATATTTTTTTTTTTTTTTTTTTTTTTTTTTTTTTTTTATAAAATTTTTTTTTTTTATTTTTTTTTTATTTTTTTTTTTTTTTTTTTTTTTTTTTTTTTTTTTTTATTTTAAAAAAAAAATTTAATTTATTTTTTTTTTATTTTAAAAATTTTTAATTTCTTTTTTTCTTTTTTTTTTTCCTCTTTATAATTTATTTAATATTTTTTCTTTTTTTTATATTTTTTCTATATTTTCCTCCTTTCCCTTTTTTTAATATTTTTTTTCTTTCTTCCCCCTTTTTTAATTTTTTTACCTTTTAAAAAAATTTGCAACTTTAAAAATTTTACGTAATATACTCTAATATACTCTACTAGTAAGTACTATTCTATATACATATGATATTAATATATATTATTATTAATATATATATTATTATACGCTATATTAGAGTATTACTTACGCGACTAATTTTATTAAATCGTTTAATTCTATAGTTAAATTTAAGTTAATATTAATACTTATCGTCGTAGAATCTTATCGTCGTAACGTCGATTATTAGAACTTTTCTTTTTTTATATATATTATTATTAAACTGATAGAACTGGCGAAAAAGATTAGAATAGTTACTGAATTGATGGAATTTTAACTAATTTTTAAGATAGTTACTAAATCGACGGAATTTTAGCTAATTTTTAAGATAGTTACTAAATCGACGAAATTCTTAATTTCAGCCCTATTCGCAAGATCAGCAATTTGAAATTTAGTAGAAACTTTTCAGATTTGCAGATAATAAGCTTTTCACTACTAGAAAGCCCGCACTCTACTTATACGCTATTATTATCATCGAATAATTTCAATAGCTTCTATAGTTATCATTTAAATAGTATTTAAAATACTATTATAATTACTTTTAATTATTTCTACGCGATATATTTACTATACTTATTTCTCTTTCTATAGTATATATCTGCAAATCTGAAAAGTTTCTATAAAATTTGAAATTGCTAATCGCGCGTTAATCGCGAAAATTATAAAATTCGTCGAATTAGTAAATCTAATTTAAATTCGCTTAAATTCCGCCTAATTAGTAACTATAATCTACTTTTCACACGCTATCCGTCGATTTAATAATTATTATTTACTATTAAAATACTATTCGCCGGTTTAATAATTACTATATATTATTCGAATAATATTTATTAATTTAATAATTACTATATACTATTCGAATAATATTTACTAGTTTAATAATTACTATATACTATTTAAATAATTTTTTTAAAAATAATAATCGTCTTATATTAATATTTTATTATTTCTATAATTCGCGATATTAACTTAACTTTATAAGTTAAATTCGACTTAACTTAGTTATACTATAAATTTAATTTAACTTAACTTAATAATATTATTACTAGATATTAAGTTTATATATATAAATTTATATTACTATATCGAGTAATTTATCTTCTCTATTAAAGATAAGAATATTATTATTTATAATATATCTCGTAAACGCTAACTATCTAAGAAGGAAAATCGTTATTAATACGCTTTCTTATCGCTATAATCGCGTTAAAATCAATATAATATATATAAAAGCCGATAATATATATTTATATCTCTATTACCCGATCTTAGCTCTATTAACCTCTTCTCTTAATATCTAAATCTCTTCGAGATTTATATATATTAATACTTATTAAAGTATCGAGTATCTTTTTTATAAAATCGAAACCGACTTTTTTAAATTAGAAGTTTCAATTTTTAAATAATTATATATATAAAAATATAGCGAGTAATATATATAGATCTCCTCTTATAATATCTTATATTAGAACTTTCTTCTAATTTATTATATTTTTAAAATAATATACCTCGATTCTAGTATTATCGTATAGACTATTAATAACTCTTATCGTCTTATACCCCTATAACAGCTTATATTAGAGCTTTCTTCTAGTTTATTATATTTTTAAAATAATATATCTCGATTCTAATATTATCGTATAGACTATTAATAACTTAAAGAAATTTTAAATAATAGCTCTTATTATAGACGATAACGTTCTTTAAGTTATAAGAAGTCGCGAATTAATTTAATAGTAATTTTTAACGTCGAAATACTTAACTAGATACTTTCTAAAGCGTATTAACATCTCTCTAACTAAAGAAAAACCCGCTCTCTCTTCTCTTTCTAATTATAATATTTATATATATATTCTATAATTATAAGATCTCTCTTTACTCGATAAACTCTAAAAATAGTTTGAAAGTTATTCGAGTTAAGAAGAGTATTCAAATTAAGAAAAGTATTTAAGTCGAGAAAGATATTTAAGTTAAGAAGGATAATTAAGATCGATTTTATCTATTATATATTTAATTCTATTTCTAATATTCTAAGATCTAGATTCTTAATATCTCTATTATCTTATAGTATAATATATATTAATCTTCTTTACTACTCTATAACTTTTATTTAAAAAGTTTAAATTATAGATATTATTATATTAATTAAAGTCGATAAAGTTATTAATATAATAAAATTCTTTATCTTTTATCGACGCGAGTATAATATATATATTTCTCTTAATATTTACGAGGCTATAGAATCGTCGTTTTTCGAGGATTTTTAAATTCCGCGCTATTAATAGCTACGCTCTTTCTATTTTTATTATATTATAATATTTCTAAACTTATCTATTATATCGATATTTAAATATCTTTATAAAAATACTTTATAAATAAATCGATCTTTATCTAAAATCTCTATAAGCTAGATTTATTACTTTTACTATAACTAATACTTTCTCTATTAATTTCCTCGAAAAAATCTTATTAGCATCGAAGGTCTATTAATTATATTCATAAACCTAAGCGTACATCTGCAAATCTGAAAAGTTCCTGCAAAATTTGAAATTGCTGATCGCGCGTGTATCGCGGAAATCATAAAATCCGCCGGATCAGCAAATCTGATTAGAATCTATCTAAATTCCGTCGGTTTAGTAACTATTCTAATCTTTTCCGTTAATTCTATTAGTTTAATAATAATACGTATAAAAAAAGAAAAGTTCTAATAATCGACGTTGCGACGGTAAGGTTCTACGACGACGAGTATTAACGTTAACTTAAATTTAACTATAGAATTAGATAATTTAATAAAATTAGTCGCGTAGATAATACTCTAATATAGCGTATAATAATACGTATATATAATAATACGCATATTAATGATAATATATATTAATATTATATATATATAGAATAGTACTTAAAGTATATTAAAGTATATTACGTAAAATTTTTAAAGTTATTAAAAATTTTTTAAAGTTACTAAATTGATAGAATTAGTAGAAAGAATTAAATATAGATAAAGTTTACTTAATAGGCTAAATCGTACTAAATCGTACTTATAATACGAACCCGGCGGAAATCGTATAAAAAGAAACTTTTCAGATTTGCAGATATAGTTTCTACGCTATCTTTTTCGAAAAAATTAATTAATAAATCTGCAGATAACGACGTCTTTAGATAGATAAGCTATATTTAAAGAATCCTTTCTAAGAGCCTTTTAATATCGAATATTAAAATAGATGCGAATCGAATATCGACGTATTTATCTATAGTTTATCTTATATATATTAATATTATTATTTCTCTTAAATAGATAATATTCCTTTAATTTTATTTAATTTATTCGAATAAAGGCGGCTAAAGCTTCGAGAAAAGTATTTAACTCTAATTATTTAGTAACGATCTCTACTAGTCGTTAATAACGACTATTATAATAATAGATCTATCTTATAATATTACGCTTCTTATTATCCGCCTACTAATCTTAGATATAAAGATCTAAAGAAATTCCCGCCTCGATCTTCTTCTCTTTCTTCTATAATCTCTTAATTATAAATAATAATACTTCTATATCTTAGTATTTAACGAGATTATATATTATAATTATCTTCTAATATACGATATTATAACGTATAATCTATTTAATATAGTTATTATACTTATTTATTAATTTATAATACTTTTTAAAAAATTTAATATACGCCTTTTTTTCTATTTAAATAGTTAATCTATTAAATAAATTAAATAATTATATTATTTTAAATAAGTAATTAATACTATAAAACTTTAGAAAGTTAAAATAACCTTTATTCATCGTTTTATCTAGAGATCTATATACTTAAAAAACCTCTTTTAATAAATTAATTCGAGCTAGAGTCGCGAGTAGATATCGAATAATATTATTATTATAAGAACGATATCTTATTAATATAATAAGATTAAGAATAGCGCGATCTATATATAGCGTATTCGAATTTAATTTAATTAAGATTAATATAAAGATAATTATTATTATCCTCTATAGGGTCTAATTATCCTCTTCT